TGGTGTTCCGTCACTGATGGCCAAAAATCTAGCCGTAATTGCTCTCCTGACCTTGTTAAGAAGTGGAAGAAAAGTGTTGACAATAAGAAGAAATATAAATAATGGGATTGGATGACTGCCTGTGAGCATACAGCCAGCGGGAGGGTCACCAATGGGAGACATTGTGTTCCCTGTGGGTAAGACAGACCAAGAAAGCTGCCCTTGGAGTGCCCGGGGCTGCTTCTTCATTTCTTGGCAGCGAGGAGAAGGGGCTTTTGTGCTGTAGGAACAGGCTGCCAGTCAACTATATTTATGGAGCACCTGCTGTGCAGAATTTGCAAAGAAGGAGACAGGCCTTGTCCTCAAGAAGCTTGTGGTCAAAGAGAGAAGAAAAGTCTCCGTCTCCTATAAACCCTGTAGCATTCACAATGGCATTTGAAATAGAGAGGACTTGGTGATATTTAGGGCATATTCTGAGCCTTGTCACTCAAAGTGTGTGTCAGGGACTGGCAGCATCAGCATCATCTGGGAGCCTGTTAGAAATGCAGACTCTTGAACCCAGAGTTAGAATCTGCACTTGAGCAAATCCCTAAATGATCTGTGTGCACACCTCAGTTTCGGAAGCACTGGAGGGGCCTCGAGGTGGTGACTTTCAAATGGTTTAAGAGAGCAAGGCTACCTGGTTTGGTGAGTAAACTGATAGAAAAGGCAGCTCATTTACCTGTGAGCCTCTTAGACACTGGCATCTCATCTTAGCCTTCTTTATAAGCTCCACCTCCCCCTTATTAAATTCATGGTGGGAGCTCAATGAATTCTGATTGCATGGGGCCTTCTTCTTATGGTCCCTATTCAGTGGGGTCCTATGGAAAATGGTATGAATGAATTTTTGTTATAGAGGCAGCCAGCAAATTTTGGGAACATGCAAATGATTTTTAGAGGCGTGGACAAAACTATAGGCAAGGTCAGAGACAAAGGTGTAAACTGAAGTAAGAGGGCGCCAGGGCCCTGAGGCTTACTGGCAATTGTTTATTTTCAGCCGCAGTCATATGCTGCTTGGCCTTTGCCACTCCCGGCTTCCCATCTCTCCAGGGTTAAGACAGCTGCAAATCTTTGTTTCAAATGCTCTGAAAACCATTGAGAGTTCATTTCTTTATCTTTTCTGTCCCATAAGATCGATTGATTGATCAAGTTATCTGCACTGTGCAAACTCTATGTATTGCATGTAAACTTCATCAAAGTCAGTTATTACCACTTTACAGTAGGAGAGCGAAAGGCCAACCTTCTCTGTTCAGTTTCCAGACGCTTCCTCACCTCCCACCCCAATTTCAAACATGTTCTAATATGACGCAGCCCACAGACCTCGAAATAAGGTCAATCCCTAGCAGGTGGCATCTGTAGAAAGACATGAGTATCATGCTCACAGGTGTGTCAGAGTAAAATTCTGATAAAGATGATGATAACCACAAAGGGATAGAACATACAAAGTGTGTACCATGTTCCCTATCCCTGCAGGAACTCACTCATTCCTGCCAGCAACCCTTGAAATGGGTTCTGCTATCATTTCCATTGCATAGATGAGGAAATTAAGGCACACGCCACTCCAACAGACAGGGCAACATCCGTATGAGGCCATGTGGCCGTGACAATAAAACCAATCAGTTCAGTGTGGGGGGGTAGGATGAGATGCAATAATGTCCCTGAAAGGTCCATAGCTTACTTCTGTCCCCACCGGCCGGAGCGGCTGAGAGGGGAAGTGCAGCCCCCTGCTGCAGAGCCCGGGTGCTGGGTCAGGCAGACCTGGGCCAGAGCCTGCTCCGAGCTTCCTGAGCTGTGCGGCCAAATAGGGACTTAGTTCTTCTCTGTAAACTGGAGGGAACTGTAGTACTGACTTCATAGAGCTGTATGGATTATAAGAAATAACATATACCAGGTCCTTCATGCAGGAGGTGCCAAAAAGTGGTTGTGCTCTATTTATTCCTTCACTGGCTGTCAAGTAACAGGGTTTCTATGATTTTTAGAAGGAAAAGGTCTGGCTCCACCTACCTACCAGGGAGGCACGCATTTTTCTACTTTTATTTCCTGCAACCATCTTACAAATGTACTGTCATTAATATTCTATGTTTTTGTATTTCTGACTACCTGGTGCCATTGACTATTAATGACCCATTTTCTGTGGGTTTCTTGGAAGTTGAATTAAGCCTTTTAAATTCTTACTTTGGTTTGCTTTGGGGCCTGTTACATAGAACATGGGGGCTACAGACACAATGGACATGGAGAATTCACATTCAGGGCAACATGTACAGTTTCAGTGTCCAAGACGAGTTTCTTTTGTTTATTTGACTAGAATTCGTTCACCCTTGGCCTTACTTCCAAAACAGGATTTTAAGCAGCCACAGCTTCCCTTACAAAATAGGCCTTTGTTTACGTAGATTCTGAGAAAGCACAGCCAATTTGATAGTTTATACACAACCACCAAAGGAGCTCTTCTTAATTTTTTTTTGGTCATTTAATGTGTTTTCTACAATAAAACGAGGTACCAGGGAGAGAGGAAAGGAATGAAAGATCCCTGTCCTTGTTTAGTTGGAAAGGAAAAGAAATATAAATATATAGAGACAACTGAAGAATAATTTTAAAATAATTAGTGAATAAAGAGTGTATTATGATGTGGTCCAGAAGGCCAAGAAAACAAGGGAGAGGAACAGAATGGAATAATTAGCGCTGAGAGTCTTAGGAGAAATGTCAAAAAGTCAGACCAAGACGGCCTAGCACAGCAATGCTAATAGTCGTTGCCGAAAATTCTAGAGCTCTATCTATGTGCCAGGAACTGTGCCGGGCATTTTATATAGGATTAGCACCCTAGGGGGTCATTTATCTTACTATTCTCATTTCACAGACGGGGACACCAAGCTGATAGAGATTAAGGAATTGCACCAGGTCACACAACTAATCAGGTGTAGGTCTGTCTGACACAATCGTATGTAGAGAAAAAAACAGAAAGTCTCTTGGGAAAAAGATCCTCACCCTTCTTCATGACAGAAAGGTCAGAAAATGAAAAGAGACACCAGCTCTGGAGCAGAGGGGCCCCCTGAGGGAGAGGGAGGCAGTGCTTGCCGACAGTGGCTTTGAACGTTAACCTGAAGAGTGAAGACCTAACCCAACCGGTAACAGAGATCCTCTCTTGTGGAGTAACAGGATGAAACCCCATTGTGGCCTAAGTAATCCCTGCGGCTGTGGGAAAAAGACTGGAGGCTGTTGAAGCTTGTCTGTGGAGAGAGCCAGGAAGAGGTCCTCAGGCAACGGGTGACAGTCCTAAAGACAGCGTGTCAGAGAAATTGGCTTCCCGCTCTTGGTCTCCTGATATCTGGGTGTTGCATCAACTCACCCAAAGCCAAGAGGTCAACATTAGAGTTCTATCTCTGCACTCAGATCTCTGAACATAAAATACTTTGACCTTTTGGTTGACACTGGCTCTTCAGGTTGACACTGGCATTAAAGAACCTTTCCATGACATCGCAAAGAAACAAAAGTCCTTCTCTTGACGCCATCTAAGGAACAGTTGTTTTTCACTGTATCTTTAAGCCATATCACATCCTGACACATTTTCATCTGCCAGCCTGAAAGGTTATATGGTTTTTTCCACTTAGTCATTTTTTTCTCCCTAATTAGTAAATAGTGATGTATTTATGTATGGTCATCTGAATGAAAATAGTTTTTTTGAACAATAAATTGGAGTTTATACCCGGCACAAAAAATTAATAAAGGAAGATGACGTCGCTACACCTTGGAAGCCCTGTACCTCTCCTTTCTTGATTTCTGTTGCTGAGAAGTCGGTCCTTCCGTCCTCACTCCAGCCCACCCAGACTGAAACACGGCGCTTGGCCTGCGCATGGTGAGAACTCTTGGGTCACACTGCTCATTGTGAGGCATTTCCATTTGGCTTGGAAATAGCCACTTGTGGGGAAAAATGTGGAAAATCCTAGATCCAGACAAAGATAAGGCTTCTGGGATCCCACAAAATACCTATAATACAAAAACTTTTCTTTGCTATTTAATTGTCAAGCAGAAAGTAATTGTAAAAAATATCACCTTCTTTAACTGCTTCTTCCTGCCCTGGAGGAGCAGCTGGTTTTCACGCATGCCATTAATTCACTAATTCCCAATTCTGGGCCTCTGTGGGGATTCAACAAGGGAAATTCCATGCCCTTTGGTCACGGGACTGCCGTTAGCTCCTCGGACATATCCTTGAACAAAAGTTTCTTTAACAGACTTTACCACCAGACTGCTCTACATTCTGGATATCTGAAGCCAGATATAAAACCTCAAAACCGGAGCTTCGAAAACCGCGAGTACGTGTAGGTGGAAATCTACCCCAGGTATATGTATTTCCAGAAACAACTGTGAGAGGGGTTGATTTTGTTTCCCAGTGAACAGAGGGTTCGTCTTATAAAAGGAAATGCTGCCAAATCGGAGGCCTTTTGTTTCCTCAGCATTCAGAAATTTTGTCCCATGAAGGCGGGATGATGTCAGAGATGCTGTGGTGCCCCTGCTCTGTGGGAAAAGTGAGGTTTCGTTGACTGAGCACCAGCCTCACCTTAGACTCTACAGGATGTGAATGCCTTAGGCTCTAAGGGACATGCTTGCCACTCACAGTGTCTCATTTTATGCTCACAGCAACCCCATGATATAAGCTAGATGTTGTGTCCAATTTTCCAGATAATGGAAACAGGCTCAGTGCCATGAAATGTCCTGCCTTCTGCCACCTGGATCCCCATTTTACCTGTGATCTGTCCATCACTAGCCTCTCCCACCTCCTCAAAATCTGTATGATACCATTTAGATCCTCACCTCACACCATACACTAAACAGCAGTGTGTCTCAGGAATCAAGAGGTACCTGCTTCACCCTTCTTGTCAGTACAGGTAAGATGGCTGCCTGGAGTTTAGCACAGCCGGGGGCTATGGAAAGTAGCTTTTCTCTATGATTCGTGAGCCTAACACTTCCATTACTCTTTTTATTTCTAGAAAATGAAGTGCCTGCCCCAGCCCCAGCCCCACCCCCGGAAGGTAAGTTAAAACACTACCTCACACATTTGGGCTGCAAATTCAGAATGTCTATCCCAGCATGGTTCGGCCTTCAGTGAAGCTGTGAGCTTTAACTCCTGTGGAGAAGTTGGATGACCACAGGGGTGATAGGTTTATAATAATAATAATAATAATAACAATAACAACAACAGCAACAACACATTGTGTTTATATAACCCTCTCACGTTGATCTAATTTGTATGACATGTCATATACTTATAAAACCCTTGGTGTTGTGGAGACTGGGTTTCCAAGGCGCTGAAGGCTTTGCAGGGTTTGTGACACATCGCTAAGGGCAAACAAAATGCACATCTTTCTTGTGAGAGTGGGGAGCAGATCCCATGTCCCAGAAGATCACCGGTCTCTTCTCAACTTCAACTATGCCACCATCAAGCACTTCCAGAAATTTAAGATTTGGTGGCCTCTGCCGGCTCAACCTCAGAACCAATTTCTCCAGTTCTTAGTACCCTGTTGTCCACCAGGTGGCAACAAAAACAACAAGGACTCAAGAGTTCCAGTGAACTTGGCAGGTAGAGGCAGTGCCCGATGCCACACAACAGAGAAAGCCTGCTTTTGCAGCTACATAGACCTAAGGAAGAGAAGGGGATTGAAAGGATGACAAGCCCAAGTGGAATGCTAAGCACCCAGCATGGATCTCCAGACCAAAACGACGCACCTTTTCCCGGGAAGACACCAAAGTGCCCTCTTTCATCGCTCCTCCTCCTTGACCAGGATGAGAAACTAGCATTCACTAAAGAAATGTTCACACAGATTCATACACACAGAGAACAGAATGATGGTTGCCAGAAGGGAGGGGGGTTGGGCGCCTGGGTTAAAAAAGGAGAAGGGATTGAGAAGTACAGGTTGGTAGTTACAGAATAGCCATGGGGATGTAAAGTACAGCATAGGGAATATAATCAATAATTTCATAATAATTATGTATGGAGCCAGGTAGGACTGGAAATAACAGGGCAAATGCTTTATAAAGTATATGATTGTTTAATGCCTATGCTGTATACCTAAGACTAATACAAAATAATATTGAATGTAAACTGTAATTGAAAAAAAAATTTTTAAGAATTATTCATGAGGTATTGACCATGTGCACGACTCTACCCTAACACTTCAGAAGGATACAGAGCTATCTACCAGATATTTATTGATAACTAGACATAAACAAACTGTCCAAGATGTAGTGGAGAACTAATCTATGTAGAAAACATTTCCCTGTATTCAGTTTGCTTACACCCAAGTAGAAAATAAAATAAAATACAGACCAGAGAACAATTCAACAAAATACAGCCACTATGTTGAAACATGGGGCACAACTCTAAGAACTTCAACAAGTCAGTATGTGATTTAATGCATTTAATGTGTGTTACTTGAATTAATAATGTGGTGTGAAGACAAGGGGTGGGAGGTCACTGTAAACCAGTTCAGCCTAGTTGAAAGCAGGAAATGAATAAAGCCTCAGTTGCTGGTAATCTTTTTGCATGGAAATTTATAAAGAGATTATGAAGCTCTTCCACCCTGGGGATCATTTTCAGGAGGGCAGTTTGAGAAATCTAACTACTCACACAAGCCTCTTTGTCCAGCTAAGAATACCAGATCACATGCTCAAAACCCTTAAATATTACAGAAGAGTATTGCTATGTGTCAAAATGAATGAAACAGGCTCAGTGCCACATGAGTGTAAACAGGGATAAGCTCAAGTTTAATTTTCTTTCAACCAGTATCAATCTGTGACTTTTTTAGGAACTTCTTTGGTAGGTTTCCTTCTTGCATATTCAGACTTCCCTTTGCCAATACTGTGTAGACTGAGGACCTACAGGCCATTACAGGTATAACCTTTCCCTTCCATTCTTCAGATCAGTAGCTGTCACTGGGCCACTATGAAGTTTCCCTTATTGTGCCATATTTCATATTCATTGCACAATACTGACTTCTTGTTGCTCAACCATGTCTTCTTTTACTAAACTCTGCTGTAAGTGCCTTTATTAGTTAATTAAGATTCAGGTCTACAATCAATCAAAAGAGAGAGAGTTCATACTGGAAAGAATTCTTTTCTTGCATATACCACAAATCAGGCACCATTTGCAGATATCTAAACTAATATGCTTCTGATCAGAGAGAAAAGCAGAATAGATGGTCTCATAATAAAATCTGATTTTACTGCTATCATATTGCGCTTACTGCCACTCATCTCAACGCAGAAGATTAATGTGTGCACCAAAATATTTTCTTTGAAACTATTGTACAATTATAGATTTTATATCTTGTCTGTATCAAAATAATACTATAATGTTATTTAGAAGTAAACACTATTAGAACCACTACGAGCACTATTAGAAGAGTATTAGAAACACTGTTAGAACACTGTTAAAGCCACTATGGACAAAACTTCCTTAAAAATTCAGTCAGTCCCTTGTTGGGGTCTACAAGGAAGGGACTCACTATAAGTACTGTGTGCTAACTAATTGACCACTGGAGCATGACCCATGTTTTATACTCGTTCCACACCAGCATGTTCTAACATGAACCCAACAGCTGAATGTATTTTAACAAAATCTGTATTGTATGTTTGTACATGTACTTTTTTCAAAAGTAATCAGATTAATTGCTTTTATAAAAAGTTTAATGTGACTCTACATTATAATCCCCAAATTCATCATTCATGTACAGCATAATAAATGTATATGTAGCATCATTTATGACCTGTCTGTTTTCATTTATGCCCCCCACAATGCCCATCACACAATAAAATATCTTAAGACACTTTTTAAAATGTGCTTGTACTTTCTACACAGAACCAAATAAAGAGCCGGAAGCCGGAACCACACCGCCGAAAGGTGAGTGGAGGGAGGGAGAATGAGGCTGAATCCAATAAAGTTAGAAGCAGAAAGAGGTCAGTAATGCTTGCCAGGGTGACTCCATGGAGTTTCTCTGCATTGTCTTTCATCAGTGTGATTAAGTGTCCTTGTTTTCATCTTAGCTGCACAACCCAATGACGCTTTGATTAGTTTTCATTATACAAATTTTCTAAAAGAAAAACAATAATGATTTTTTAAAAAATCACAAACACTTGTTGAGATGTCAGCAAATTAATTGGTAGTTTTCAATTTCCAGTGTACATATAATGGAAAAGGTATGTCTGGTCTTCTTGGGATTATATCAATTTGGAAAATTATCAGGATTGCCTAGGTTTTTCTTTCTTTGAATGTTTTCATGTTACTGTGTAAACTGACCGAGGTTTCACTAGTAATTTTGAAGGCCAGCATCTTGTTTTGTAACACTATGTATTCATGTAGATTTATATAATGATTTATGTAGATGGACAAGCAAACATCATATTGCTCCTTATTGTTTTGGAAACTCATTTATTTCTGCAATATTATCCTACTTTTACTTTACATGTAGATAGTCTAGTTTTATTTTTTAAGATAGTCTAGTTTTAAGCAATGAGTAATATTTATTACATGGATCCATGAAATACTGATTCCTTTAAGTCATGGAATAAGTCACTGTCATTTCTAACCATCCATCTTTAGCTAAGGAGTGTTAGTTTTCTACAAAAGAAAGTTTTGACAGTGGCAGATTTGACAGTTCTGCTTTATATGTTTGTGTCATCACTTATATGTTCATTTTTTAATTTGTGTAATGAATAACATAGTTTAAATTTTGGAATAACCAATTATTTTCAGGCTACAGTAAGATTTTTCTTTCTGGATACTACTCCAAAGTATGTTAAGTATCTTTGTTCTTACTACACCATATCTCCTTACCTAATTCCTGATATTGTTGTCTTCTATACATTAGTAAAATACTTTTCTTCTTTCTTTCAGTACATTGGACCACTTTTCTTCAACTAACTTGAACTTACACTCTCATAAATGAACACACAATTTTGTAGTATACTCACTTTGTCCTTGACCTTAAGTGGCTCCCATGGATAGTAACCTGAATACTAATCCTGGCCGCATGAGACACAGTCTGAAGGTTATTTGCTTATGGAATGCAGACAATGCAAACTCCTAGAACTCTTCCATGAGATGGGTTCAAAGATGTTTGGACATCTGGCCGAAGTTATTGTAACATTATTCTCCACAAAGCCGATGGCATACACCTCTGTTTCCAAATCTGGAAAGGTGTTTGGGCCAGGTTTTGAGGCTCAACCAACAAAGAAGATGACGTGATCCCAGAGGGCAAGCTGTCAAAGTTAAAACAAAGTCTGTGCCTTACCCTTAATATGAAAAGTCATCCAATTATATTTGTGTGCTTAAGTGAGAAAATGCCTTTCTGTATATTAAAGTCAACCAATCAACCAACCAGTCAACCAACCAACCAAAACTCTTCTTTATGCAGGACGTAGTTTGATGACAGAGCAAGACAAGATGACTAGGGAGGGAATCCTGATTAGTAGCATTTTTTTCCCTGACATTTGCAGAAGTCAAGCAAGGCCATGCCACGTGCAGTCACATGCCCAAGTACATAAACTGCCATGTATCTATTTTTCTCTACATGCTTAGGAAGAAAATCAATTTAGGATAGAAGGTGATATCCCTAATTAAAGAAGGTAGGTAAGTGGAAGTTGTTTCTAAATATATAAACCTTTCTACTATTACCCACTTTCATCAAGGACAGGAAAATTTCAAAGAAAATACTTAAGCAAAAAAAAAATAGACACAATAAACATTGCTGTATGTATGACGATGGTTAAGAAAGAAGGCCTGCATGAGCATAAACAAGATCGACAACCCTCAGTCCATTTCATTGAATTTTAACGAGTTCAGCTTGGGTTTCACTCCTTCATATAGCCTTTCCCTGACTTCGATCTCCCCTTCCTCCTGATTTCTCTTGGACCTATCCCCTCTGTCATTCAGTCACTCTTCTCTCTACCTAATCATGTGCTAATGGTTCACTTCTTTCCCTAACAGGCTTTAAGCTTTTTGACTGTTGGGCACCATGTCTTAACACCTTTTTGGGGCCCCTCATCTCATTTTTCCTAGTGTCTAGAAGAGAGCTGCACAAGGCAATCTCCTAATAAGTACCTGTGGAATGAGTGAACAGTGGAATTTTCATGCTGTCTTAGCTTCTGATCACACAGGCAATGATAATCTCGATAGAATTTTATTTCCATTTACTGGGCAGAAGGACGACCATCCCCTTCATACTCAATAATGAACTTCCGACTGAGACAGTGATATTGGGCATTGAGTGCTCATCCTCAGAACAGAGAGAGAATGTAAGACCAACCCACTAAAAGCTATTGAAAGTGGTCATGCCTAGATATTAGTACATTTTCACACTTTAATTAGTCCCCTATCTAATTACTTAAAGTATATGCAGTTAATAGTGCCAAGACCATCACTGTTAAGAGCAACATTCAGAGCAACGCAGCCTTCCTGTCATTCCCAGGTTGCCTGAATCATTCTGTGACAACCTGGAAATGTTCTGAAAATTGTTGTGTAGCCACAGAATGTGGGTTGGTTCTGATATCAACCTTACAGTAGTGCTTGTGGGTAGATTTGCCAACTTTTTATGTTGGCTAAGAGTCGCTGTGTGGGAAACAGCTGGTTTTCCAGGATGGGGTTTTGCTATTTGTTGATTTGCTTGTTTGTTTGCCTCTGGACTTGTCCACTCAACTATCCTGTTCCTTAGTACTGCTCACTTTGTCCTGGAATTGAAACAGTAGAGATGGCAATAAAAAAAATGTGTTTAACCAAACAGCAATTCCAGAATTTACATGTGCAAATCCCCTTTTAGATCATGCTGGGAGACAATGTCCTTATAAAAATAAAGCTCCCGGGATTTAGGATTCTTCCAGAATAATGGCAGGTGGCAAATCGATAAAGTGCAAAGTACAAATTCTTTTTTTATACCCTCAGTGGGGCCAAAGAACTGTCTTTTCTTCTAACATTCACTTATTCAGCAATTATTCAGAGTCAGCTACAGTGCCAAGCAAGGGTCTGGCACTGAGTCCTGCCCTCCTGGACATGACTTTAGGGAGCTTTAGAGAAGAGAACAACCATCAGCAGAACACAGTGGACCTCAGCTTTGAAAGCAAACAATTGTCGTGGAGGGCCATGTGTAGAGGATAATGTAGGTGCTCAAATGGGACCATGTTTTTATGGTCAATCAATATTGTATGTGTGAACGCAGAGTAAGGAGGCTGGCTCTCTTCTGTGCCTCAATGACAGGGCCTGTGGGAAGTTTCGAAACTGGCCGTGTGGGTGGTTGCAGATGTGCCAGTGGTATTAGGATCAGAGGTTACTTCGATGATCAGTACTTATTTTAATGCCTAAGTTCTGATAGATATATATAACTTTGTGTGTGTGTGTTATTAATGTGTAGTCTGTATATATTTTGGAAAGTCCAATTGGGGTAGTTACTGACTCTTTTTATTTTTTTTCCAGAAAAATAACTGCTTTTGATAATCGTGGCAAGAGAAGTAAAACTTTCTTTTCCCAGGCAATAATCATCGTAAATGAACCCTGTGCGTATTAAAGAAATCACATAGCTTGAGCTGAAGCATCTTTCTTTTGGCTTGAGTTTGGTTAGCAGAAGAAGAAGAGAATCAGAAGAGGGTCCAGAAAATTTCTCCTAAATAATATGATTTTTTAAATTAAGAAATTATTAAACTTTTTTCCTTCATTTAGGTACTTTTGCATCTACAGTAACATGATATTCATGTTTCTTACTAGCATGCTAAAATGTTTTTCTGAAATTTTACCTTCAGGAATCAGACAACTATTAATTAAAAAGTCTGTGTGCTTTATTTGTGTATTCTAATTACACATTTCTTTGTAATGAACTTTGTTAAAATTAATATCACCATACTTTTTAATTTTAAGACAAAACCATTATAAGATGCAATATCAATTTAGTAGACTTGGGGGAGAAAAAATTATTAAGTAAACATATTTATTGTAAGATGAATCCTGATTTCAGAAATATGAACCTGTGAAGGCATGTGTCTTCTCATTAAGAAAATAAATTAATCAAATGCCTCAGCCCATGATGGCTTAGTGTTAGCTGTTGATGTTATTGTCTTCCATACGTGGTTGTTGTACTGTTGTTGTGTTTGGTCATCTATGCCAATAATCACTAAAACTGATTACCTTGCTTGAGGAATTCATAAATCTGTCTAAATCAAATCAGGTGCTTAACCAAGGCTTGTTTATAGTCACATATATTTTAATTTTATATGCTTTTTGATCTTTATTCTAAAATTTCAGCTACAATCCTAAGGTTGTTTTACATAAAAAATTAATTTTAAAAGACAATTTAAATCAACCATAGGTAGGTTATTTTATGCCTAAGAGACTATGAAGAATTATAAGAATGTAAACACTCTATTATCTCTGGAAGTCTCTCCCTCCAATTTCAGATTTCATGTGTCCTCCCCTAAAATCCTAGGCTTGTAATATGAAACCAAGTTCTTTCTCTTCTTTCCAGGCCTTCTTTGGGAACTTCAGTTATTTAAAGAGTCCTTTTCACGGTTTCACAAATGCTATTTTCCCATGACTTTACAGACAAATAAAATTCTGCCTTGGTGAATTTCCCTTCTGCGTAGTTAGGGGAGACAGCTCCGCTGCTCTGGGCCCAGGTCTTCATGAATGCTGCGTTCTCAAGGGCCAAAGGCAGTTGTGTATGTTTTCACCATCATTGCAGTCACTTTTAAATAGAAAAAGAGAGAAACTGTGACTTATGTAGTATAATTTTTTTGTTTTGTTTTGTTTGAAAACATTCTTTGTATGATGCCATGCCTTTCGTGTTTGTGTTGTTGAATTAGGTGCAACCTAAAAGATTTGGATATTCAGTTTCCCTTCTAGCAGTAGAACCTGTTTTTCCATGGTAAGGAAAACAGTGAAACGTTCCATTTTAATCCAATTTAACCAAGTTCAACCAGGCAACTTTTCAAGAATTTCAGGTCAACATCCCAACATCTCAACTACATTTCCTAATCTAAAGTGATACTAGGATCAAAGATACTTTTAAAAGAAAAAAAAAAAACAGTAAACTTGTCAATTATATTTTTCAGCACTTTTGTAAATTTGGAAATGTATGTACAAGAACTCACATATTGCCAATTGAGAAGGAATTGCTGTTTGGAAGTAATGTTGGATCATCCAGTTCCTTTCATAAAACTCTGAAGCACTGGTTTAATATATGGTGCCTCAATAATCTAAATAATTGTGCATGGCCCCTCAAATAGTCTTAATGTTTAGTGGACATTTAAACTACTCATTCATCAATTTTTTTGCTTATCTCTTCCTTTTAGTTCTATGAAAATATGTGACTGCTCCTCTCAATCATTTAGCATTCTAAACAATTTAACTCGAGGATTCCTTATACGCTGTGCACAAAGCAAGCTAACCACAAAACCTATATAAAATGAAGTGTCCATTTGACTCAAAATGGTTCTGGTTTCTAGTTTATACATGATAAAAGAAGTTCCTTTCTAGGATTTGTTTGAGTTTTAAGACTTCTTTTTCAAGAATTTTTCCAGGATTTTAAATCAAGATTCTTTACATACTTCAGTAAATAAAAGTCTTCAAATAAGATACGTACATATAATACTAATATTGAATTAAATTTATGGAAAATAATATTTTTAAGTTGCAAGATATTTCATTTTTGTTATGTAAAATTTTAATTTTTTAACACTATTCTGAAATACAGAATTCTGCTGGTAGCTCAGAAATAAATATACTTCCCCAAATGCTTAGTTTTGTGGAAAGTTAAAGATACTCCAGAAAAAAACGGGTTCAAAAGTGAACCAAGTTTGGGAAATGTTAATAGCTGTATCATTTCTTGTCTCTACTCCCAATGCTAGAACATAATTGGCACACTGAAGGTTTTGAGATATCCCTCAATAAAAGCAGACACACAATACAATAAAACATAATCATTTAATTTTTCTTAGCCTAACATTTTTTGAGCTTCTTTGACCACTGAAAACTTCCTCTGAAGAATCTCACAGTATCCAGTGAGTCACCTCTTGGGTTCTGAAGATATAACATTAAGTTTCTCTATATGTTACTCTAGTTACTCTGTAAAAAATAATAAAATATAACTTTGAATTTCAGAAAAGAAATTTCAGGCTAGTAAGCAATGTATCTTGTAAATATTCTAATAAATTATACAAAAATATAATATTTTATTTCAAGGAATTTTTAAGCACTTTTTAATTAAATCATGTGCATGTGTTTGCTATATCCTAATTTATATAGTCATACAAGTTCATATTTTGAAGGCCACAATTCCTCTAGTATTTTAAGTACAAAGATTATCATCATTTGCACTAATACTAGTCTTCATGCTTTGGGCAGAGGTTTGGATAACACCAAATGCCTCCTTAAGCAAAAACTCTCTATAATTCAGACATTTTAGAAAAAAGAAATATTCAGTGCCTCTGCACATAAACATTCCAAGGCACATTTTGAATTTTACAAATGTTCATGGGTAAATGTTTAAAAAATTATACAGCATTGGCCAACACCAATATAATCTTGGGACAATATTTATGCAATTTCTAAAATAACTACTGGTGAATTTAGTAAGTATGACAAATTGATTTCCATTAGTTAATGTTGACTTGATTCCTAAATATAGGAAGGAAATTAATCATGAGGTTTTTGTTCTCAAACAATACATATATATATATATGATTTTATGTCTGTGTCCAAATGGTCATGGTACATAAATTATGCCTGCCATTGACTTCAGTTACAAAATAATAAACCACTTCCATTGTGGATTTCATCAAGGTTAGAATTTTTAGCACTGATTTGTTTTCTCAACCTATAATCATATAAAATGCTTGCATAGAGTTCCAATTTTTAATTTACATTTTCATTTAGATTACCCTACTTTCTCAACCGTTTTACTTATTTTTCTTTTTTGCCCCAAATACTCAAATTTGATCTCTTAGGTACCAAGACTTCTAAGGCTTACACATCAATTGAAAGTGTTTGGTGTAGTTTCTCCTCTGCTTTTTTCAGATTTCTCTTTTCTCAGGATACTGAGGATGAAGTCCTTTTCTCCTTGACTTTGTATGCCTATTTCTTGTTTCAGATGAAGAGGAAGGCTCCCCGTCCATTGCCCTGCCTCCAGGTTAGGATGACCCCAAAACCTTCTTCCCCCTACTCTGTAATTCAGTACTAATTGACAATAGAAGCAAAGAGAGGGCAGAGCACCTTAATGAGACGAAGCACAAACACGGCCACCAGGCTTTCCTGGTGCCAGAACCAAGAGGGAAAATGCTAGCTTCAATGGCAACTTTTTTTTTTACATGAGAACCTTTTTTTAAAAAAAAGTATTCTTTATGAAATAAGTAAGACTTTCAAATCTCAGATATAAATTTTAGAGGCAAAATTGTCTTCCATTTGCCCTGTACCCCTTGTCCCCTGTCCTTTAGATATTTGGATTTTTTATATTGTTGTTTTCTAAATAAGACACATATTTTTAGAGATGCTTTCTTAGTTGAGGCTCTGCTGATTTTCCATCCAAGCCAACTTCTAGCTTTTTTCTCCCCGTCATCAGAAGAGGGTTTGGGGGAATCCAAGGAGGTTGAAGTCAACACTTCCTTTGCACCCCCTTCCTCTTCCATCATCCAAATCACCCTTTTCTTTCAGGTTTGGGTAGTCGGGCCCTGGAAAGAAAAGATTCAGGTGAGCAGATGCCTGGAGAAAGGCATCCTGATCCTATCCTAATATAAACACTAATGGCCTCATTTCTTGAAGCTGTACTGATTCTAATCTTGTTTTTTTTCAGTTTGTAGCTCTGATAGCCATCTTTCAATGACATTGCTTCTTACAAGAAAACTAATGTATTGAGAAACATTAATTTTGCATGATATACACACACAAATTCAGCAATCTAGCTACATGCATCACAGGTTTGTTTGTTCTATTGTAACTGTCCTTGTTAACATTTGACAAATACACAGAGAGTACAGAAGTTAGATGATAAGTCACATTTTTATTGAACTTTACATACAGCTGATAAAAAAAAAAACCTACAAATGCACACTGTCAGCTGTGTTACAACTCTCTGTGGTAATTCATTCATTCCACATATTTGTGTTGAGAGCCTACTATGATCCTTGGATGGGCCTCTTATCAGCCAGACATTTGTAGGTATAGAAATGAACAAAAGAGCAAACATGTTCTAAATGTGAACACATTTCTCATTTTCTAAGTATGACTGGCCATACTTTACTATTATTATTAATATCACAGACACCCACAACATAAAACTTTAACATCAACTGTTATTAAAAAATTGTGCAATCATGTGATTACATTACATAACTTCACTGTGAAAATGATGGTCTTTATGGATAGAAATACTAAGCATGATTGATACATGACAACTAAAATAACTAAATCTGTATTTCCTTCTTTTCGAGAAACATTAACAGGTAGAGTTGGCAACCCATGCATTTTTTTTCAGTTATTTAAGCGGCTGAAACTGCTGAAAGCAGGTCTCGGAGACAGAGGGGCACCCACAATTCCCTCTGGCCCTCCTCACTGGAGTTGACTGACCGTTAATCCAAGCTAAGCACCTGGAGTGCAAACTTCATTTCCAGGTTCTCGCTCTTCATGGGAAAGCCTCAAAGAGTTTTCTTTTCTTGCTGTTTTTCTGGGCTTTTCCCCCTTTTCAGGACGCTCCTACTATCCTTGAAATTTGTACCTGCAGGTGACGATCTATTACTGAATTGTCGAAGTACAGCCTAGTCTATATGATCCTAATAGGATTGTCTAATTATACAATGGCAAGGAATTTAGAAATACCAGGCTAGACATGCTTGTCTGATCCTTCCCAGTTGACCTGCAAGCTGGCCCATCCAATTCTTTTGTTGTATAGATATGGCCTTATAGTCAGCCACCTGCAAAAATACTGAGAGTACTGCTTTAATATACTTCCCACCATTATTTATCTGTTAGAGGTCAGGCAGGATGGAAAATAAAGGAACTATGGCTTCCAACAAAAACAGAGTAACAACCTACCTGAGAAGTTTTACAATTTCTAGGAATTAGAAAACGTGCCTTTATCCCATCATGGAAGAGACATCCCTGTAAGAAGGGAATCTGTCACTCTTTACTGATTGGCTGCAGGGGAGATGGATGGAAAGAATGATGTTATTACATTTATCCAGGTGTATTAGACAAAGAAAAGCTCCAGCATCGATGGGAACGACAAACCCAGGTAAGTCTGTCTGAGAAGAACCTGGCCCTGAAATGATCCTTTTCCTTCTTTCTGCTCATTAGAGTGGTCTCTTGGCGAATCACCTGCCACAGAGGAACAAGTCAAGCAGAATACTAATTCTCAGCTGTCCACCCTGTTCGTGGAAAAGCCTCAAACAGGAACAGTGAAAGTTGGTGAGTGTCAAGCATAAATCCTGCTTTAAAAAGAAATGCAGGTGAAATTTACATAACATAAAATTAACCATTATAAGGTGAACAACCAGGGGCTATAAATGCATTCAATATGTGACCACTACCTCTATTTAGTTCCAAAACATATTCGTCAACCCAAACAGAAACCTTGTACCCTCATTAAGCAGTTATTCCCCATCCTCCCTCCCCTCAGCCTCTGGCAGCCACTAATCTGCTTTGTCTCTATAAATTTCCCTATTCTGGATATTTCCTATAAATGAAATCACACCATAAGTGACCTTTTGTGTCTGAATTCTTTCAGTTAACATAATGTTTTTGAGGTCCAGCAGTGTTGTAGAATGAACCAGTACTTCCTTTCCTTTCTATGGCTGAATAACATTCCATGGTATGTGTATATTAAATCCTGCTTTTATAACCTGAAAAGGTGAGTGAAGCTATCATTTCAGTGCACTTTGGCATGTAGGAGTGTAGCGCCTGGAGCCTGGAGCCTGGAGCCTGGAGCCAGATTGGATTCAAATCAGTTTCGTCTGTTTAAGGGGGGTGGTACGACCTGTGAAGTACTTGGAACAGTGTCTGACATTAATGAAAGCTCTGAGCCACTGTTCACTGTCAACGACACACCTCATTCTGTAAGATGATTACAACACTGCACGCACACAAGATCATAACCTATAGCATTTCAGAGGAAGTTAGTTGAACAGATGGTTCAGCTTTGGAAATATTCATTCAAAAATATCAATTACACATCTGTTGAAACATTATTCTGAACACTGAGTATAACATGTGAGCACTCAAAACTTACGGTTTTAACGGGAGGAGCAGACAACAAGAAATTAAACAAACAAATGCCAAGTGCCTAAAGAAAATAAATAGAATGGTGGGTAAATTAGAGAACAACTTGAGGTCCAGGAATTGGAACAAAATAAAATTTTATAGGAAATACACTGGGATCAGAACTAGTCTTTGACACTTAGCCTAATATTATGCATATGAGCACACGGCTGACTCAAAGCACACTTGCATGTAAACGGAAATGTTCCCTCCTCTTGTGTTTCCAGAAGACACCAAAATGCTGGGTTGGCCAAGCAGCTAGAGTTTTCATGTATTTAGGATCTAATCAGTAATCCATCAATTCAAACAGATAGACAACTTTATTTCAAAAAGATGTTACACTTAGTCATATTCCTATAATTTTGGGCTTCCCATCATTTGCATAATGGAAAAGATTTGAAAAAATGTATATGCTGTGTGTGTGTATATAAATCTGTGTTGTTTTTCTCATTTTTGTCATAAACGGAATATAAAACAAAAGGAAAAAAATGATTTCTAATGATTAAGCCATTGATTCTTCTTTGTTCCATAAATCTCAAAAGCAGAATAATTTGGAGTGTCTTAAAAACATTTAGGGTACCCATTAAAAAGTCAGGGCCATTTCATTGCACAGTTTCAGGGGTATTAGTCACACAATCGGGTATGCAGTGCAATCCATGTACCTCCTTCCAGTTGAGAGCAAAACAAATGACAATTTTCAAACCACAGTCTGAATCACTTGTCCTTTTTCTAGGTGAAAATATCACCTTCGTAGCCAAAGTCAAGGCTGAAGATCTTCTTAGAAAACCCACTGTCAAATGGTTTAAAGGGAAATGGATGGACCTGGCCAGCAAAGCTGGGAAGCACCTCCAGCTGAAGGAAACCTTCGAAAGACAAAGTCGGGTATGGCCCTGAACTCCTGGCATAGCGCTCTGACTAGCCCATTCCTTCTGTGCGGGTAAAAGGTCAATTTTAGGTTCTGCTTTGAGAGATTCCAATCTCAGAAAATTCTCTGGAGTTACTAATCCTAGTGTCTGCTCTTAGCATGCTTGCCCTGCTGTGCCCAGGGTCTGTGGAGCACATTGCCCCCACCTCTGCTCAGAGCATCGTCCTGGAATCCCCAGATACAGATATGTCTTCAGCCATTGCTACAGAATTGGAAAATTACTGAAATGTGATGGCATCTTTCTGTCGGCAAGGTAGGACTGAAATGTGTCTGGATGTGTTTTATTGCAGGTATACACATTCGAGATGCAGATCATCAAGGCCAAAGAGAACTATGCGGGAAACTATAGATGTGAGGTCACCTATAAGGATAAGTTTGACAGCTGTTCATTCGATCTTGAAGTACATGGTAAGAGAGAGTTCTCGTTTGGATAAATGTGACTTTTTTTTTTAAATGGGGGATGAGGGGATGGAGGAGGAGAAGTCCATTTAATACCATGAGATTTTGAAAATAAAGTTTCCTTTAAAATGGTGTGTGTTTCTGATTGTGACAGTTGCAGCAAGCCTGCTGAATTAAATAGTTAGGAGGCAATTTATTAGTGGAAGTTGGGGATTCTATTGCCAGGTATCTCTTGTCCATGTTATCTGTGTTCCTTCAATCTCCCAAATAAGGGCTAATGCCATTTTTTGCTGCTACTGAATAGACCTATTTCATTGGGTTCACTTACTCCCCCTCAGGTGTGGTGAGAAGTTAATATGATCCGAGGATGTCAGGAGACCCGAGTGGAAGGGAGGATATTTCTCTTACAGGGACTAACATCAGATATGAAAGTTCTCCATCCATATATTCTGTGTACTGCCCGTAGTGAATTGAACAGGGATAAATGTAAAGGTGTCCATGTAGACTGAGGGCAAAAAACAAAGAAAAAAAACAACACACTTCTCTGAGTATACAATGGGAGAGGTGACTTGGCAGCAAAGATCATAAACTGAATCCAAAGTGTGTTGTAGTGACAAAAGACAAAGCTGGCACAATTTAAAACTGGGTCATTAGAATTGGCATAGAATCTAGGTTTAGAAAATGATACCACCCTGCAACATGCCAGCTGTTCCACATCTGGAGGAGTGTCTTTGGTCATCGGCACTATACCTCCAGGAGGATCCCTTCTGGAGCAGGATAACTAGGAGGATAGAGGATCCAGAAGCCACGCCCTCTTCGGTGGGGTTGAAAGAGGTCATGCATGCAACTATGGTTCATTGTAAATAGAAGGGCTGGCACACAGAAGGATAAGGCCATTTTCCAAGTCCTCCAGAAGTATTTAGGCAGATTAGAATCAAAATGTGAAAATTATGAAGAGTTGAATTTTGTCTTCACGTTAGACTGCGTTCTTTCGGCAAAGCCGTGCGGACACTCGGAAGGCTGCGAGATCCCATTCTGAGAGCTGTCAGGCAGCGGCTGCAAGGCCGTGGGCGGAGGTGCGGTGGAGGTTTTTGTGTTAAGTGGACATCTGGCTCTGAGCAGTGCGTCTTTAACTTGGCCTGCCATCTCTGAGAATCACCTGGAGGGCTTTTTGAGAACTTCGATTTCTGAGTGTCCACCTCTGATCTGGTGAATTAAAATCTCCAGCGGGGAGATCAAGAAGCTGCTTTTGTTTTTTTGGTTTTTTGGTTTTTTGGGGTTTTTTTTTGTTCAAGTTCTTCAGGTGATTCTAATGGGCAGGCAGGTGGAATGATAACGGGCTAAAGTAACTCCTAAAGTCCTCTCATTGATACTGTGCAAGGCAGGGTAAGTTAGGGCATCTCAGCAGCTCAGCCATCCAAGAGAGTCACCCGCCCCCTCACCTGGCCTTTCTTCCCTCAGAAGAATTCCTGCAGCCTGGAAAGGAACTGAGCACAAAACTGCCTTCTTAATGGTACTTATTTATTGTTTTTTTTTCCTTTCAAAGAATCTACGGGGACTACTCCAAACATTGACATCAGATCTGCTTTCAAGAGAAGGTAACTTCAAAAGGGGACTCTAGGTAGTTTTTGAGTAACGTGAAAGTAGACGATTTTCAAAACATACTTTCTCTTCCTCTACCCTCTAGAATTCCAAATGAGACCAACTTCTTTCACTATAGTTAAACATATATTTATTTAAAACTCAGTGTTCTAGAAAAGCCATGAGCTTAAGACCAAATCAAGTACAATGTATACTGATGATTCTTAAGACTATCCTTGTTATAGTGAAGCTCCCATTTTGGTGGGTTTCACAGCTGCGTTATAAAAATACACTATCAATCTATTCTTATGTGGCTTCCTCCTTAATTGCGTTATTTCCCACCAAATGGCCAAAAAAAGATATATATGCGAAGGTTTGCATCTAATATAGAACCAGTTTATTGACGTCAGAAAACTTATATTGCTTTTCATCTAGAAATCATTTATGGAGCTATTAAACCATTGCCCAGAGAACCACAATTAAGTAGCCATTTACTGAAGTTAGCATTATTTACATATTGAATTATCCTAAATGAAAGATCACCAAGTTTGCCAAAATAAAAATCACTGTAAAAAGGAAAATATAAATACCTACTTGATTTCTTTTGCAACTGCCCAAGGCTGAAAAATCAGAGGGCCAAGGAAAAAAAAAATGAAAAATTTTTCCTACTCTATGTGAAGGGTAACTAGCCCTTTCTTGTCATTATTTCACTCTCTGAACTTAATGCTTCCAAACATAAATTCCTTAATGAGAGCAAATATTTTCTCCTTCATACAACTGAATGCACATACAGTTTTGTTAAATAAAATCATCCCAAACCATTATAAACTATTAGTCTGCTAATAAAAAGTGTATTTTCTTCCTAAATTATGAATAAATGAAAATTTTAATCACTTTAAAAAGATATTTAATATTACCTGATCAGTCAATTGGTATTTTTTTAAAAGTCATAACTTTCAAATCCTGTTGTCTTCCATTTCTCATGTCCAGCAAATGCAGACGTCCAGCAACTGAAACTAAGCTCAAACCATGTACAAGTATATTTTAGGAGAGATGAAGACACGATTTAACAAATTTTGTGCTTTAAAGGAATAGAAATGTGTTTACTTCCTAAGGTCTGCTCCAAATACCTGCTTATAAGAAATTTTGAAAATATGTTATTTGAGTTTCAATTCATATGACTTACATGTTATACATAGTTTTTAAACCTGCACACTCTTTCCTTAGAAACCATAACTAACATTTGTAAAGAGCAGAAAACCAAATCTTCATTAAAAAATTAAACATGTAGTGGCATTTAAGTGTAAGCTCCATAGCTTCTATTTATAGTTTATATGAAATCAAAGATGGCTGCATGCTTAATTTAAGATGCATTTCTCTATAGGAAAGCACTTTAAAAAATTCCTAGTATTAAAAGGCTCATCAACAATTCAAAGGCAGATTTTTGAAAAATCCATTTTAGAAGGTGTAACAATCAACAAGAAAATGAAAAGCTTATAACTATTTCCCTTTAAAACAGAAAGGAATGCACCTTTTAAAAAGCTCTGTTCTACTCCATTTTTATGTTATGTCAGTATTGTATTATTTGATTCGTCTATCGGTGGACACAAAGAGGTTACCTTTGAATATAAGCTTTGCACTTATATATTTGACACTGGTACACTTCTTCCTCCAAGCCAATCTCTGTTTGACATGTGTGACAGAGATCAGCAAAAGTCCTTTGCTTTTTACACAGGTATGTTTCTAAATGCCCCCAACTTGCAAAAACAAAGTACTTTGTGTTGTTTGGCTTAAGCGCATTTGTGTTACTCCATTTTAACACAAATCCAAGCTGTTATATATATGCAATCTACAAAAATGTGTCTTCTGAAATCGTAGAGTAACACAAGCTCCTCATGTTTACTTTTCCACAAGTACACACTCCAGAAATTTTAAGTGTCACTTGTGTGAAAAGAAATAGTTTGTGTTGATTCAGTCCCATGACTTGTGTGCTGGTACAAAATTGCATATACATTATATGTAGAGTGTTTGGGGGAAACTGTTGTGTATGTGTCTCAGCATTAAACCCAGATTTGCTTTTCTTTTGTTAATGACAGTGGAGAAGGTCAAGAGGATGCAGGGGAACTTGACTTTAGTGGTCTCCTGAAACGTAGGTGAGAACCAAATGATGGAGTGAGGAGCTATGGTCTGGAAATTTTTTAGATACCCACTCAGAGAAGTCCAGTTTAAAGCAGATGTGTTTCAAAGAATTTCTTACATCTTAAATTGTGTTTTGCTTATAGAATATAACAGTCAACTAAGAAAGAGAGAGAAACAACCACAATACTAATCTGTTTAAGATGTTAGCTGATGCTTTTAAATTTTCTTTCTTAAATGTTTTATGAGTCTTTTCATATTTTCTTAGTTGGGGATGAAGAAATTGAAAACTGAGACAAAAGATTTAAATACCTAAAAACTTCTACTTTCTCTCATTTCAATCATGATTCCCTGTGATGATTGAATAAATGAAGCCTCCATTTTCCTGAAAAATCAATTTTACAATTTTGGTAGATATCTCTACAAATATACAGGGGTCTGGCAGAAGTAAGGCCTGCTTGAGTGTGGTTGGTAGGTTAATGATATGGGTGTTATAATTTATAGTTTTAATTTGAATATTTCACCTAAAATGTCATATGGTGTGCTTGAGTGTGATATTGTTACATTACAGAATTACATGCTTACGATTTTATAATAAAAGATTTGGTATTAAAAAGAGGCATTATTTGTGCCAGACTCTGTATTTTAAAGGCAAACATACTTTAATATAGAATTTATTATTTACTGTATTTCATCAAATCTAAGGCACCATTCATTTTAAGATATACTGTATTTTATAAATCATTGAGCAATAAAAATTACTCCAAATAGTTTATTATGACAAACAATTGATTATAAAATACGCCTTTCTTTTAGAGATGTTTAAAATGTCAATAAAAATGTGCATTTTAGAAGAGATGAATTATGGTAGTAAAATGGAAGTAAATATTTAGTATTTCACTCATCCTCTTTAACATTGTTCTCTCTTGCAATAAAATTTCTATAATTTTATTACAGCTGTTTAGCACATAATCATTTTATGGATTTCTGTCCATATAGTTGCATATATATAATCATATAATATGTGATATTATATTTGTTACATATAAGTTAAACATCCAGATATTTAGTGCAGAAACAACAAAAAGAAATTGATTTTTGCTAGGACTGTGTTTATCTAGTAAATTTGTGAATAAAGAGTGAAACTACAATTCTAAATTGATGATATATCATATTGATATCAATTTTCATTTAACTTTTCAGGTTTACTTTTTATTCTTTTTAGTGCCTGCTATGGTTATTAAAGGAACATACGTATAAATTTGCTTGACATCAAATTACAAATAGAAATAACTGGGCTTGTGGATATTCTCAGTTTAGTTAGATGCTGTAATTCGAGTTTCAATGAATGAAAAACTCACCCAGTTCTAAACATTTCATTTGAGCACAGAAACATTAAGTGTGATTTACTAATTGCCTATGTATATCCGCCAATCAATAGTCTTAGCACCATCAAATCATCTTTCCTTCTTTCGATACTTCAAATAATCATTAGTGCCAATAATATTTGTAAATTCCTCAATTTATTTAAAGCAGTAGTGTATGAAGTGACCTTAAGTGAACCTCACTCTTCCTCATTCTATAGGTGAGAAACTAGAGACCAGAAATGTTGGGTGACTTACCCCAAGTCACACAACTAGTTAAAAGCAGAGCAGGGACCTAATTCCAAGGTTCCCTTTTCCTCAATCAATCAATCTATCAAAATGTGGTACAGTAGATTATTAAATGCCATACTCTTATTAAAAAGGGAAAAGAAAGAAAAAAAGAATAGACTAGTTGTACCAGTAGTTTGGAGAGTAAAACAAATCATCTAATTAATGGTGAAAATGACTATAGAAAAAAATTACTAGAAAACATGGGCAGCCAACATGTCTCCTGTTCTCATTTTCTTTACATCCCCTAATTATGATTTTGACTCATAACTAGATTGTTGTTAACATAAGACTATATTCATTTAATATACTTTACTAACCCACCAATATAACTTTAGAAGTCTTTGTGTTTTCCTACTAATTTGTGAATTGCATATGTTTTCATTGTGGTAATGACATGTGGTTACCATTTCTACTCTCTAAGAATCTGTGGCAAAATCCCTATCTGAAGACATATCATTACAGCCAACATCTCCATACAACAAAAGATATCCCTGCCCTGAAGAAAGCCAACATATTTCAAAGAGATATTAACTAAATCATAATAAGTCTTTTGGGCAGTATCTTGTTATGGGATTTGACCTATATAAGTACTTGAAAGTTTTATTCTACATAAAATTTGTATAACTTCTTTGCACTTTACCAGAATTGTCAAGTTATAGAAATTTTGATGTAGATGAAAATACTTTGAATGTTATATAGATCAATCCCAGTACTTGGGAGAAATCAGAAGTGCCTTTAGAAATTAGAATTTTTCTCCCTACTATAAATTAATGTAGCCATGCAGATAGGGCCATCTGCAGCCAGATATGTTAAGAAAAGATAATGTTCTGGATGAGTTAAAGAAATGCTACAGTTGGGAGCCTCAATCTCATGTTCCATTTCAAAACGAGGAATACTTCAGTCTTGCAATATGGGATCCAGCTAAGCGAAGGGGAGAAAAGGAAGGAATAAGCAAGAGGTCATCATTGTTCATACACAAAATCTGAGGAAATTAAGAATGTGGTAGAGTGAGGTATATTTTGGTGTTTTAATGAAAAAATGGTGAGGATGATTGGTTTTATGAATCTACCAACAAAACTTAAAAAAATCTTACTGAAAATGATCTTTATTACTATCTTCCATTGGATAGCCACCCAAATCTAATTATGCCTCAGAGTTTGACTTGTGCCTCTTTTTAGTTATTTTTAATCTAGTTAGATATCTTTAAATCCTTTTACCAGTGTCAGGGTGATACTCAAAATGTGTACATGTCTAATTCTTTTTGGCTGACATACAAATTTAAAACAATGTATTATGGCATAATATTACAGTTTAGGGACTTATATTGAGGCAGGAATGTGACAAAAATAAAGCATTAATAAAGTGGGTTGAAGAAACACCCACAAAAAATGTATACATATGTACATACATACACGTTTTAATTGCAATTTGCCAAGACTTCCTACAAAATATTTAAAGGATGTATTTGAAATTTAGACTACTTTCAGGCAGTACATTTAGTAGATATGGCAAATGATTACCAATATTCCAACTTCAGTACAGTTTTCTTAAGCATTTTAATTTCCCCATGTTAATAGAGGGTGTTGTTATTTCAGTGAAATGAAGATAATACCTGTGTCTTGAGTTTCTTCCTTTTTTAAAAACTGTATTAGGGTGATATTGGTGCACAGTTCCACATCATCTGTAGACTGCATTGTGTTCACTGCCTCAGGTCAAGTCTCTTTCCAGGGTCTTAGGTTTTTAAGAGGCACATTTTTCTAATGGTGTTGTCCAGTGCTTTCCATAAAGGTGGACCAGTGACCTCTCACTTCCTTTCACTTTCCAGATTAGTCTCAGCATCATCTGCCACTGGGCAAAAAAACTTACATAACAATGGAAAGTAGATATGCAGAAGTCATTTTTGCCTGGTCACTCTAAACTCTATGTTAATATTTATATTCTCCTTTCCCTCCCCATGGTTGCAATCCAGCATTTCCTCAAGAAACTGGAACAGGTATAATTCATGTGACAATGCAAACATATGTAATCCATGATTTGCTAACATGATAGCATGAATCTGTTTTCACAATGATGTTTAAGGTGTGTTGACCAGTTTTCCTGGAAAATTATGTCCAAACCAGCATTATTCACAGTAAGTAGACACTGTAAGATTTCCAAATTAACCTGATAAAAACAGTCAATTAAGCTTAAACAAAGTCAGGACTATATAGCCAGTGAAAGAAATCAATTTAAATTATATTTTGCATTTACACTAAGTATCTTTTCCTGAAGCGCTTATTCCTGAGTTTTTGTTTCATTTTTTGGTTTTAAAATAAGGGTAGACAAGTGTACTTTAAATCTGATATATACTTTTAGCTACATAGATTCTTTACATGTTCTGTATGTTCTTTAGTCAGTGATCAAAATTGTGGGTCATAATTTTGATAATTACGCTAGGAAGCTACTATCCCCTTGTTCATATATAACCGTTAACCATTTGCTTTAAAGTTAACATGTATATATTTATGACTATACCAAACCTGCTCCCTAAAAATTTCAAAATAGTACTTTAAAATAAAATTTAAAAAATGTTTGGCCTCACTCTCCTTTTCCCCTGACAATTTAGAAAAAATTCTTTTAAAAACATACGTGTCCACAAAAATCCTAATGAAAAACAAACCAACCAAAAACCAAAAAACCCCTTTGGGGTAATTTTAAATACTTTTGCATAAAAACAGCCAAAGATGATTAACGTACACATTTACTAATATAGTAAGAAACGTGCTATTTGCAAAATCCAAAGATGTGTGTCCTGTATGTGTACGGTCTCCATATTTAGATAGATAGACAGGGTGTGCACACCAGTGAAGTTAGAGAGAGAACCTTCTTCTTTCGTAGACCAATATTTAACACTTTCAGTTCTTAATCTACTTTTCAAAATTTTTTCAGCACCCATATGCCAAACGAAAACGGATCTTAAGTTCCTCAGAATCTCACCTTCTAGACTTTCAAGTTGACAATATGTAAAAATATCTCAGGCTAGTTCCCGATAGCCTCCACTCCCCTTCATGTTGTGCTTTTCACCAGAAAAGCGAGTGTTAATATAAGTGCACGCATCCGATCTTTAACTATCTGGAAGCTTCCCTGAGACTTCAAGCAAAGCCAATAGACTTGCTTCTCAGCTTAAGTGCTCAGACACTAAACAGAGCTTGCAACACTGAACCAAAAAATCCGTAGTCCCGAAACCTTCCTGGTCTTTGAGGGCCAGTGGGCGGCCGCTAAACTAGACAATGGTTCTCCCCGGTTAGGGAAGTGAAGCAGCAGGAGGAAGAACCCGAGATAGACGTGTGGGAGCTGCTGAAAAACGCGAACCCCAACGAGTATGAGAAGATCGCCTTCCAGTACGGTATCACCGACCTGCGCGGCATGCTCAAGCGGCTCAAGCGCATGCGCAGGGTGGAGAAGAAGAGCGCAGGTGAGTCCCCCGGAGGGCGTGGCCACGGGTCCGCGTCCCGTACCCGCGGAAGACTGGACCGTGAACCCCCCCCCCCCCACCGCCGCCGTCGGTGATCCGGTCTCTACGTCCCTGTCTTTGGGGTGGGATTGGCAGGATTTACGCTTCCCTTGGTTACCTTTGGCTTCAAGTGAAACATGTCACTGTGCCGCATAGCACTGGTGCGCAGGTAGCAGATAAGCTACTGAAGGTTTAAGGTAACAGAAGAATTACATTAAAGTACTACCACATAAGGCATATAATGGAATATTAAATATTCCTATTGTCACTGGTAATTTCTCAGTGACCCCTTTCTCCAGCCTCCCCATCTCCCTCACTATCGAATTCTTGACTCCTTTCTCTTTATTTTACCATCATATTCTTGCACCCATTTTGATGGGCCGCGGGAAATTCACTTCTCACACCCAATAAAGTTATCTAAATAACTTTAAATAAATAACTTTAAATAAATAACTTTAAAGTTATCTAAATAACTTTAAATAAAGTTTTGTGAAATAGCTATGTTGCTCCCTGGGGATCTAGAATAGATGCTGTTCATTGTGGTTTTAAATATCTCTTTAAAAAATACTTTAAGATGTTGACATTAAAAAAAGAAAGAAAGAAATACGTTTTAAATTGACTATTAGCTCTTGAAAGTTTCCTATACCTGCTCATTGTCAGTTATGGTTTTATGACACATCAGGTTGACACATCAATCCTATTAATGTTTTTGTTTGTTAATGTTCAAATAGATTTAAAGAATCTCACCATCTCGTTTTAAAAATCTGCCCTTTATTTCTAAGCCTCCTTGTAAGTTGGTTGAGAAATGGCCCCAGAGAAATATAGAAGTGGTTTGCCTCTCGGCTCTTCTCAGACTCCACTATCTCAGACTCCTGAAGTTTTATTTCTGAGAAGTGTACGAGACTGAGTCACAGACATGTGAATTCTAAGGCGTACAGCCCAACGACAGCTCTTTCCCCTACACAGTCTTTCTTATTCTTATCACTTAGTTCTGAATTGATGTCTTGAGGTATGTGATAGGTAACGTCTTTAAAGCTAGTATTTATTTTATCTTGTTAAAATATGAGGAGGGGAGCTTGTTTAAGCAGTAGTATAATAAAGGTGGAAGGATGGAAATGCAAGCATGGCAACTTCGTGAGGCATTCCATACATGTAGGTGTTTTATAAACTCTCTAAATGAGAATTATTATCTTTAAAATCAGAAAAAATATATAAAATTTAAAAAAGTTAACTATCTTTGTTTAGGACATTTCAAAGGCAATAATTTTAAAAACCACTATGTTGTATGAAATCCTGAGTGAGTGTGTGTGTGTGTGTGTGTGTGTGTGTGTGTGTGTGTGTGTGTATTCTTTAAATGTGCCACTATTTGGGCAAAGTGTCCATAATACAAAAGTATCTGATAAGTCTATTTCAATTAGTGAAAGGCATTCAATTTAATCTTATGAATCATTTAATTTATCTCATAAATTCTATGACTGAAAAAATTATCTGTAACATAGAAGACATACAAAGGTAATACCAGTAATCCTGACAGTAATTATGCTAGGAAGATAAGCATGTTCTTCAAATTTAATTTCATTTGGATGCTTTATATTATACATTCCCTGAAGGATTAGGCCAATCGTTTTTAAAGCCTCTTTGATAATTATTTTCTTCTGTTTCTCCCCAAAACATGTATATTCATTTTAAGTTTTTAAACCATTTTATTGAACATAAAACAACACAGAAGTCTAAAATATAAAGGATAATTTGGAAGATTTCTAGTTTTTTTATTCTCTGAGTCTCAATTTTTCATTTTGTTTTAGGTTCTCATACATATATTAACTATTTAAATTCATAGTAGATGTTAATGCACATTAACATAACTTTGTTTCTTCTCTCTACTAGCTTTTGCAAAAATTCTTGATCCTGCGTATCAGATTGATAAAGGAGGCAGGGTGAGGTTTGTTGTGGAACTGGCAGATCCAAAGTTGGAGGTGAAATGGTATAAAAATGGTCAAGAAATTCGACCCAGTACAAAGTAAGTGAGCTTTGCAAATAATCAGTGATGACTATAAAAAATTAAACAGTAATTTAACTTAATTTTCTATGAATAAAAGAACTTTTTAGTTAAACCTTTATAATGCAAAATCACATATAGAGAGTAAAAACTTGTTATGTGTTTTGGAATCATTAAAATTATAGCACTATATAAATTAATTCTTGTTTTATATTTTAATTTTATACAAACTATGTTAGGTGATTCTCAGTTATGGTTTTGTGTCACTATAGGTTATAAGTGATTATTTCAGAGTATCACCAAACTTTTCTCAATTTTTTAAAATAAAATTTTGAAAAATTTTGAAATACATATTTGATACACTGGCTGTAAGTCACACTGAAATTAGATAACTTTTGATTTTCCAGAGTAACATCTAAAGCCTGTGTTTTATTATTGCTTGGCTCTCTCCCAAGTGAAGAAGTAAGACTAATCTCTGACGCCTGATGGTATTGCTAGTCTATTATGATATTGCTTTACAGAGATCCATCTGAGCCTGAGAGATTTCAACTGCAATATATATCTTTAAGTTAACAGGAGCCATGTGAACATTTTTACAAGATTTTAATCATGTAAATCTGTCACTCTGTAGTACAATCAGGTGGCCTCCAATTTCTAAATGTGGTCATGCCTACAGAGTGACTTTGCAATGGTAATGTTTGTACCTGGTAAAAATCTCTTGAAGGTGGCTTGAATTTACCAAAAATGTAATTTTACTTGGTTATCTTTATCTAGAAAGTGTTCAGTGTTTTAGTCTTAAAATCTTCAATTGGAAAATTTTGCAAATGAAATCTTTTTCTGTAGCTTATTATAATGCCCTGATACACCCATCCATAATCCAAGTCACAAATAATTAAATTTTGCAAACTTCTTGGTTGTTCAGTTTTTTTATTCCAAATGCCCATGTTCTTTCTTGATGATGATAACTGTGATATGATAACACTAGTTCTTAAACTCATTTAAGAGAATATCATGTTCTATAAAATTACTGTCTATGTTAATGATTAAGTGACAGATCAAAATTAAATTCCTGTCTTTCAAGCATTGCCAAATTATAAGCCAAATTTTCTGGCAATAAAGAAAATAAAATCAAGTTAGTGGACTCTGTTTATCTTCTTCCTATTTAAAATAGATACATCTTTGAACATAAAGGATGTGAAAGAATCATGTTTATCAATAACTGTGCACTAACAGATGATTCGGAGTATTATGTGACAGCCGGTGATGAGAAATGCTCCACTGAGCTCTTCGTGAGAGGTAAAGTGAAATCCCTTACTGTAGTCATTAAGGGCTGAGGGCTGTCCATCTCCCAGGGGTCATAATTAAGATGAAAATAATGAGGTGAGCTCTTGGCGCCAGAACAGAGTTAGTAGCATCTCTAAAGATGGTTCACTCAGCAGGCTCAGTTGGCTCTGCATTGCACCTTAACGCTGGCAGTTAATCTGGATCCTAGGTTATCTTCAGGTTTGTTGAAGACTAGAAAAGCCAATGGGAACAACAACAAAAAACAACTGCTGGGTAAAACAGCCGGTAGGTTTTGACTCAAACAAGCGGTATTTTATAATACAAGTGTTCTAGCTCTAACTTCGGAAACCCAGTGAAGTCTACAAAACAATCCTCATCTCACGCGCTCCGCTGATCACAAATAGAGTTCTCTTGAAACTAGTTAAATAACTAAAGTGGCATCAGTGGTTGGCTCTGAGAATTCCAAAGACTATCATTTACAAAAACATTGTGAAAAGAGCCAGAGGATGTCAGTGAAGCCAGGCATTATTATTATTATTATTATTATTATTATTATTATTATTGTGTGTGAGGCCCATTGATTAATACAACTCTGTAATCTCCATCATCCATCTAGAACCAGAATCAAGGAGTTTTAGTCTTAAAGGTTCTTCTTCATTAGAAGTGTCTACAACCTGGTATCTTATTTGACTCCCTGCCCCCCATATGATATTTGATACATTTTGTCTGCTCTCTAAAACAATAATTTCTTTTATTTGAAAAGTTCTGGGAAAACTTCCCCAGGGTTGTCAGCTATTTATTTTGCCAAGAAAAGTCATAGAGTCCCCACTTCCTATCTACCACCATCTAACCATAGCTCTGTGATATAATACTTTCTTATTGTTGGTTTTTCATCTGTGAAGAAATTTGGGCAAGGCAGGTTTTGGACATTTAATGATCCTGACTCCCTCTTTTTTCACACTAGAACCTCCAATTATGGTGACCAAACAGCTGGAAGATACAAATGCTTACTGTGGGGAGAGAGTGGAATTAGAATGTGAGGTGTCTGAAGATGATGCCAATGTAAAATGGTAAATAGCTTTTCTGAGGTCTGTTCATTTTTAAAAGACACACACAAAAAGTACCTTCATAATTTGGATTAGAAGAAATTGGTTTTACAGATATGAAAAGAATCTCAATCTCATTTGTGTTCGTAGAAATGGTAATTAAAACCATACTAAGATACTGTGGGGTTTTTGTTGTTGTTGTTGTTTTTGTTTTTACCCATGGTACTGAAAAAGATCTGGAAATCTATACTGGTAAGGATGTAGGGCAGTAGGCACATACTAATAATAAATGGATGGCTCAAGTTTGCCCAGGTCTGTTTAACCCCAAAGTCCACAGATGCTCTTCACCTCTGTACCATGCTTTCTCTCACTATACCATGCTAACAACTTACATGGGAAAATATACTTTTTTTTCCATTTTATTCCTAGTTATTTTATTGTTATAGTACCTCAGAAAAATATTTTAGACTGAAAATCACAAATTACATTAAAAAATAAAAACCAATTTTTTTTCTGTCAGTGGGGAGTGTTTTCTCAAATTCTCTTTGAACCACTTCAAAATTAAAGACTAAAAGATTCTGAATCCTAAATTGAAGTGCTTTGTTGAGAAGTATAGTAAATTACACAGCTGGAATCTGTAGTAATTGGTATAGAGTAGGTTGTTCATTCTAATCTAGAGTCATAGCTCTCTTTAAAATGTATTAAAATGTTATTCTCACCAGTAGTACGTCAAAACCCCAAACATGCATAATACCCACTCTTAGCAAGTTCATCTGATTGATCTTGAGTGGAAAGAGGGGGTTTATGTTCTTTTAATGTAGTTTTCAGATAACATTTGTTATAATATTAATTCACTGATAGATCAATTTATCGATTCTTTAATTCAGTAAATAGTTCTTGAGTGTCTCCCAGACACTCTGCATAACACTGGGATATGGGAACAAGACCAATAAGGTCCATCTCCTGAAGGGTCATTTGTCAAAATTGTTTAATAATCTGTTTTAACCCAGGTTTAAGAATGGCGAGGAGATCATCCCTGGTCCAAAATCGAGATACAGAGTTAAAGTTGAGGGCAAAAAACACGTTCTGATCATAGAAGGGGCAACCAAGGCTGACAGTGCAGAGTATTCGGTAATGACAACAGGAGGACAGTCGTCCGCTAAGCTTTCTGTTGGCTGTAAGTGAGACTTCTTTGGATGTCTTCCATGTGGGCTTGCTCATGGCGTTGCATTTTTTAATCCAGTTTCAATCTATTTCATTTCTACTTGTGGCAATTTTAAATATGTAAAATTATATTCCATTTTAGCTGAGGGTCTATGTCATGTCAATTAGGGTCTCTGAGAAAAAGAGCCCATGGTTAAAAAATATTTTAATCCCCAAATCATATAAATAGATGGTAAATACTTAGATATGATATCAAATCTTTGTCACATTTGCTTAATTCATCAGTGACTTCCTATCTATTCATTAAATAAACACTCAAGATTCTGCAATTACATTTGGGGGTGAGAAGTTACTCAGCAGGCCTCAGCTGAGAACATTGTAAGAGCTAACTTGCTAATGTGCATCCGAGGCGTGAGAGAATTAATATATTTCCCCAAATGCCCACTATTTGTAGTCAGCTCTCAATGGCAGAGACTGTCCCTTTCAGTTAGCCATGAAAATTAAAATAGCAAACATCACAAAAACATTGATGATATACACAGAACAGAAATCCTGCTTCTTTACTTCCTTTCTGAGTCCAGTTGTGATTTATGTGGTCACCGAGTTATTCAGAAGTAATTTCAATATACTCCTATGTTTCATGGAATGTAGGCTATTTTAGTTTACTGTCAAAAAAGGGTTTTTTTCAATTTGCAAACAATTTTTAATAGTTTATTTTTATTGTATTTTCCCATTACCATTTATCCCCCTTATACTCTCTTCCACCTCCACCCTCCCTTACAATCGCCACACTGTTGTCTGTGTCCTTTTCTTTTAAAAGTATGTTTGGTTTTTTAGCTCTGGCTGGTGTGGTTCAATGGACTGAGCACAGGCCTGAGAACTAAAGGGTCACAGGTTCAATTCCCAGTCAGGGCATATGCCTGGGTTGTGGCCAGGTACCCAGTAGGGAGCGATCAAGAGACAGCCACACATTGATGTTTCTCTCCCTTTTTCTCCCTCCCTTCCCCTCTATCTAAAAATAAATACATTATGACACATTTTTAAAAATTTTTTTAATCATAGGCAGATCCTTATTTGATAGTTGTATCCCTTTAAAGCAATTACGTGATTTTCTGCCTCTAATACCATTAACAACTAAAACAATAAAGCAATTACAGTCAGTTCTGCTATAATGCAACACATGCAGTTTTAAAAATCACTGTGGTATCCAAAGTCATGCAATAAAAAGCAAAGGACTGATGAGAAAATAAGATGATGGGCACAACACTCAAAAATTTTGTCAGCAACACATTAAAAAAAATAATAATCTAACAAAAACCATTAGCATAGTTTTTACACATGTTAAATGGTTAATAAATAATACAACATATATGATACTTTACCTTTAAAAAGACCTGAGATTTGCTTATGGAAGTTGTGCCAGTGTGTGAACTATTGTGAGGTGGTGGACAGAGGTTATTTGAAATTGGATGGTTAGTGGTAGTCTCAGCTGTGCATGAGTGTAGCTCATATCACATGGGTCAATTGAGGTAGCTGGTAGATGTTTCAGGGGTGTGTGTATGTGTGTGTTGTGCAGTCCTACCTGCTCAGTTGAGCTGGATGCCATTTTCTGGATTCACCTAATCTTTGTCATGAATGAAATTGTATGTAATCAAACATAAAATTTGCGTTTTGCTTCAATTCGTCCCCTAGTATATCAGTTGCAGCAGAACAAATTCTCATTTTCGAAACAAGCATTAATAGCAACACTGACTGTACCATTATGAAATGACACCATCTTGGCCTGTCTCGATTGGGTCTGGCACTTATAAACATCTATTGTTTCTGTAGTGAAGCCTCTGAAGATATTAACACCTCTAACTGATGTGACTGTAAAGCTCGGAAAAGAAATCTGCTTGAAGTGTGAAATCTCTGAAAACGTAACAGGAAAATGGACTAAAAATGGGCTACCCGTTCAGGAGAGTGACCGTCTAAAGGTTGTGCACAAAGGAAGGTAAGCAAGCTAGGAGATCCCTAAGTGAGGACTGGTCCCCATCTCACTTTCCCCACTTCCTGAATTACGTATTTGTCAAGGATGTTTGAAGAACAGTCCTAGGGAAAGGATCTATTTCTGACTCATTGCTTTCAAATAGCAAGAGCATGTGATTTCTCTGTTGTACGTCATGTCCTACCTGTGATCTTGGATCTGCACTTTACAGCATGGTGCTTTGTCTATTCGAAACCCGCTGACTGATTCTTTCCTATCTAAACATGAGGTTAGAAGAATGATACTGAATTCTGGTTGAGGAACTGGTCAAACTGGATTAACTGTCCCTAACCAATAAGTGCCACATGACCTTTCCACAGTTTTGGCTGGGGTTCGGGGGCGGGGAGGTGCGGGGGAAGGAGGGGCGGGAATAATATGCTAGAATCTAGGAAAGATCTGGGCCATGAGTTTTCAAATTTGGATCCATGGATTCTAAAGAGACCATGAATGAACTTCAGGGGTTCTCATAAATCCTCTGAAATCGTAATTCTGTGCATATAAAAATACTTGCTTTTCTCTAGTGAGAAGGTCCATAGTGTCCATCAGATTTTCACTGGTTCATGACCTCAATAAAGTTAAGAAGTATTAATCTAAGATTTGGTATATAAACCAAAGTCAAGGTTATTCTTAATAATTTGAATCTTAAAGTATGACATCAGTGAGACATTTTCTTTCAACCTTTTCAATGCTATGATATAAAAAAATAAGACTCTTGCCTAATAAATAAGTTGTATTTGTAAAATTAATCCCATATAGTCTAAATTTAATATGGACCAATAAATAGGATAATTAAGATTCCACATTATTCTTTCTTTCCAGGCTGCATAATGCAAGTTAATCAGATAAAGTGTCTTCTCAGTTTGGGTCATATGCAATGTAAATCTTTGTAAAGTCTTAGAAATATGTTTTTCTTGTTCCCTTAGAATCCACAAATTAGTGATAGACAATGCTCTCATTGAGGATGAAGGTGATTATGTATTCACACCAGATGCCTACACTGTTACTTTGCCTGCCAAAGTTCATGTTATTGGTGAGTAGATAAAAGAAACCTTTGTAGAGTTCTGCTTTTTTATTTTTGGTTTTGCTTACCTTGGAATTGTAGCATATTCAAAACTATGTGATATTTAAATTAAAAATATATAACTGTTACTAATCCTAATCTAAATGTTAATCCCTAAGAAAACTTACAATGAGGTAGTTTTGCAGTGTGCCATGTACCATCTTCATTAACTCCTCTTGCTTTTTTTTTTTTTTTGCCACATAAAATACCGGTTACTGCCAATGTTTAGCACTAGCCAAGTACTAGCCCAGATACTCACATGGGAATGACTGATAACAAAGGCCATGTTCAATATTCCAGATCCTCCTAAAATCAACCTGGACGGTCTTGATGCTGACAACACAGTGACAGTAATCGCAGGAAACAAGCTTCGTCTTGAGATTCCCATCAGTGGAGAACCTCCTCCTAAAGTCATTTGGAGCAGAGCAGATAAGGTTTGTTATACACACACACATGCGCGCGCACACACACACGTGCACTGCCCACCCTACTTCCTGCCCTCCATTAGTCAGATGAAAGAAGGAGGCAAATAAATGTACAGGGATACAGCAACCATGTAATTATTTTGACGAAGAAAGATCACCAATTTTCAGGCAAATGTAATAATCATTCATTTACTTTTCATAGTTTTGACCACCTACTATGTGGCCAAAGATGTTTTTATGTGCAGTGAACAACCGTCCATCTTTCTTTCTAATCAATGTCAGGGAATGGGGTGGAAGAGGAAGAGACAATGAATTATTAAATAAATAGGCAGACATAATTATTTTGCATAGTATAATAATAAGTGCTATGAAGGTAAAAATAGGCTAATATGGTTAGCAAGTGACTGTGTGGTGAATGACAATAGCATCTCTGAATGACAACAAGAAACCAATTACATGAAGATCAAAAAAGAGAGATTTCCAGGTGAAGGCAACGCAAGTACAAAGGACAAGGAGAGAATGCGCTTGAAGTGTTGGAGGAGGAAAAGAGAGCTTGTGTGACTGAGGTGGAGTGAGAAAGAGCATAATGAGGTTGGAGTAGTAGACTAGTGCCAGCTCATATGTGACCCTATGGCTTCCTATATACAATGTTTTACAGTCAGCAAAACTACTCCATAAGACTCTATAATTATGAATACATGTCATTATCGATTTGCCAAAACCCACAGAATGCAACACCAAGAGTGAGCCCTAATGTAAACTATGTACTTGAAGTGATAATAATGTGTTAATGTAGGTTCATCAGTTATAACAAATGTACTGCTCTGAAATGGAATATCAATAGTGGGAGATGTTGTGCATATGTGGGGACAGGGGTTATATGAGAACTCTCTGTACTTTCGGTTCAATTTTGCAGTGAACCTAAATCTGTTCTAAAACTAATTTATTCATCATCATCATCATCATCATCATCAAAGAGTTGGAGAGTGTTTCCTCCTTTTCTATTTTCTGGAGCAAAAAAAAGATGTCATTGAGCTATGGACAACTTCAGACCCATATAAATACAATTCGAGTCACAAAAGAAGGGGTCAGAAAAATATTTAAAGAAGTAGTGGTCAAAATACTGTAAATAAAGAGACAAGGAGCTCAATAAAAGCCAAGCACAAAGAATATTAAGAAAACGACACCAAGACCCTACATAATTAAATTGCTCTCAACTTGTAAGAAAAAATCTTAAAAGTAGGCAGAGAAAAAAGCCACATTTAATATACAGGAGCAAAGGCAAGGCTGACATGAGATTTTTCTCAGGAAGCAAGGCAAGTAAGAATACAGTGGAGCAACATCTTTAAAGGAAAAAACTGTCCACCTAGAATTCTATACTCAGCATGAATACTTTTCAGAAAATGATTTTCACATATATAAAACCTGAAAGAAATCATCACCAGCAGACCTGCACTACAAGAAATGCTAAAAGAAGTCCTTAAGTGAGGAGGAAAATGATAACAGATGAAACATTTTCACAAAGGAAAAAGAACAACAAAAATGGTAACTGCATGGATAGATATGTAAGAGGTTTTTTAAATGTTTAAATTTCTTTAAAGATAATTGACTAAAAACATAATAACAATGCACTGTGTGGCTTATACCATAAGTGCAAATAAAATTTATTACAGTAAAAACATAGGGTCAAAGGGAGAGAAATGGAAGTAAGGACTAGGAAAGGTGAAATGGAAGTATGCTATTGTAAGTTTCTTTTGTTGGCTATACATGAAGTATTATATCAAGTAGAGGTAGGCTGTGAAAAATTAAGGATGTATACTATAAACCCTAAAGGAACTATTAAAATAAAAAAAGATTTATGCTAATAAGCCAACAAAGAACATAAAATGCAATCACAAAAACATTTAATTGATTCAAAAGAAAGCAGAAAAAGAAGCATGAAGAACAGATGGGACAAATAGAAAACAAGTGACAAGATATGGAATTACAAAAATAAATATATAAATTAGAGATTTCAATACTCTTCTTTCAATAGTTCATAGAACAAGAAGACAATTGTTAAGGATGTAGAAGATTTGAAGAATACTATCAACCATCTTGATCTAATTGACATTTATAGACACTCCATTGAACAAGCAGTATGGGCATTATTTTAATATGCACATGGGAAATTTACCAAGATAGAACATAAAAAATGTCTCAATAAATATTAAAGGATCCAAGTCATGCAAGGTATGTTCTCTGACTACAATGGAATTAATTAGAAAGCAATAACAGAAAGCTATCAGGAAAACTTCCAAATATTTGGAAACTAAGTAACATTTTTCTAAACAACTCACAGATTGAGGGAAATTAGAAAATATTTATGAACAAACCACATATCAGAATTTGTGAAATGCTACTAAATCAATACTGAATAGCCTTCTATCTATAAAAGAAATGGAATTTGTAGTTAAAAACTTGTCACAAAGAAAATCCCAAGTCTAGATGGCTTTATTGAAGAGTTCTACCAAACACTTAATGAGGAAATAATATCAATTCTACACAAACTCTTCCAGAAAATTGGAGAAGAGAGGAGTATTTCTCAACTCACTCTTGAAGGTCAGTGTTACTCTTATAGCAAAATCAGAAAAATATTACAAAAAGAGAAAACTATAAACCAGTATCACTCATGAACATAGATGAAAAATTCTAAACAAAATTTAGCAAATGGAATCCAATAATACATAAAAGTAATAATACATTATGACAAAGTAGAGCTTATCTCAAGGATGCAAAGTTTGGTTTAATATTTGAAAATCAATTAATATAATTTACCATATTAATAAACCAATAACTTAAAAGACACAAAAACATTTGACAAAATTCAACATCCTTTCCTAATTTCTCTCCGCAAACTAGGAATTGAAAGGAACTTCCTCAATATGGTAAAAGACATGCATGAAAATCTTACAACTATCATCCTACTTAATGCTGAAGATTGACTAATTTCCCCCTAAGATCAGGAACAAAAGAGAGATGTCCACTCTCACCGCTACTCCTCAACACTGTACTGATGGTTCTAGCCAGGACAGACAAGCAGGGGAAAGAAATAAAAGGCATCCATATTGGAAAGAAGTAGAACTGTATATATTTTCAGTTGACATAATTATAGATGTAGAAAATCCAATGTCACATACAAAATATTCACTGAAACAAATGCTTAGAGTAGGCTTATTTGTGATATCCAAAAGCTGAAACATTGCAAATATCCATCAAAAGGTGAATAAATAAGCAAATTGTAAAATATTCACACAATGGAATACTAGTCAGCAATAAAAAAGAATGAATCTCAAAATAATTATTCTAAGTGAAAGAAACTGGACAAAAAAAAGAGAGTACTTTTAAAAAGTCATTAAAAAAACTTTCAATGCCAAATGCTGTCAAGAATATGGAACAGTTAAACTCATGTATCCACCATTGGTGGGAATGCAGAATGGTATGCTCACTTTGGAAAATAGTTTTTTATAAAGTTAAATATGTACTCACCATATAACTCTATGATGCCATTTCTACATATTTACCCAAAAGAAACAAAGACATATGTCCACACACAAACCTTTATATAAATGTTTATAACAGCTTTATTTATAATTGTCAAAACATGGAAACAACCCAGAAGTCCAGTTGTATGAATATACAGTTTGTAAATACATAAACTAATTGCATATTAACTATACAATGGAATACTACTCAACAGTAAAAAAGAATGTACTAGTAATACATGCAGCAACCTGGATGATTCTAAGTAGCATCAAGCTAAGTGAGGAAGACAGATGCAAAAGGCTACACACTGTTTGATTCCATTTACATGGAATTCTGAAAAAGGGAAAACTATAGGGATACATAACAGACCAGGGATTATCAGGGATCAGAGTGTGGGGTGAGTGCATGACTGTCAGGGAACATGGGGACACTGCTGAAGGTGATGGAAATAATCTGCATATTGATTGTGGTTATGGTTATAGCAGTCACATAAATTTGTCAAAATTCATAGAACTGTATATCAAAAAAGTTTGAATATTACTTTATGTAAATTATAACACAACAACAAACAAAATAAAATATAGAAAACTGAAGAGGCCCTGGCTGGGGTGGCTCATTGAATTGATTGCACCAGCCTGCAATCCAAAGGGTCGCTGGTTTGATTCCCAGTCAGGGCACATGCCTGGGTTGCAGGCCAGGTCTCTAGTAGGGGACACGCAAGAGGCAACCACACATTGATGTTTCTCTCCTCTCTTCTTCCTTTCCCCTCTCTCTAAAAAAAATAAAATAAAATAAAAATTTTTTAAAAGAAAAAGAAAACTGAAGATGACAATGTAACACCACCTTAAATAAATATTTTTCTTTCCACATTAAAAAACAGCAGAACATGTTTTATAATCTTAAGATTAGAATTAGGCTAATATGGTAAAATTTTATTCTATTATAAGACAGAAAAATCAGAAAACTATTTCAGGCATTCTTACCGTCATCACAATATTTTGTTATTGAAGATTTATGAGTTCTAATCCAGAGACAAAAGAGAGTTAAAAATAATTAATGGCAAATTACTTAGATTACCTAAAGTTACCATGATCATCTGTCTCTGTTTTTCCTCTTTTGTATATTGGCTGTTCATTGTCATGTAGAAGATGTAACCTGGGAATCAGAAAAATGTAGTACTGTTTTAAATTCTGGTTTAAGAAAAAAGGAAGGAAAAAAGTGAAGGAGAAGAAGGGAAAGAAGGAGGATGAGAAGGAAAAGAAAAGAAACTATAATAGAAAGCTCAACCTCACTGTCTTTACTTTGGGAAAGAAATACTCATTCTTCCATCACCTATTGGAAGGGAAAAATCAATACTCAATAACTTGTATGAAAAATTGGCATTGCAGCAGTCCAACCTTTTCAATACTTTAAAATGTCAGAATAAGAAAATTTTAAAAATCATTATTTAGTTTGCAAAACAAATTTAACTATTTCTAATTTGATATGCAAAAAGACCTCTCTCCTAGAATAACACTGTGTACTCATATTTTTAGTTCTCTGACTTTTTCTTTGGAGAGTCAAATATTGGTGGGTTTTGGAGTCAAATCGCGGTTTTACCACTTCTTGGTCATGTGGCCATGGGTTACAGTTTTCTCATGTGTAAACTGGGATGATAATACCTTTGTCCTTGGAGTTGATGGAGGATTAAACTGAGAATGTGTATTTTAGGCATTGACACCATGTCCAGTTTAAGTTATAAAGCACTCTAGAATAGTCATCGTGTTGTGTAGGTCATGCCATTTTGTTTCTTCTCTCCTCAGGCTATTGTGGAGGGCAGTGGCCGGATAAGATCAGAATCTTACCCAGACAGCAGCAGTCTGATTATTGATGTAGCTGAAAGAGAAGACTCTGGTGTTTATAACATAAATCTGAAGAATGAAGCTGGAGAAGCGCACGCAAGCATCAAGGTTAAAGTTGTGGGTAAGTCTGCTGGATCAATAAACTTCTGAAATCAAGCTGACATGTCTAGATCATGAGTAGACTGTCAGCTATTGATTCTTTCGACTTTTCTGTATAGTCAACAAAGAGAAACATAACATAGTTATATTTTATAAATTGCTGTCTTTTTCTATTTTTGACACTTCTTTTCTTTTTTTCTCTTTTTCTTTCCTTTCTTTTTTTTGTTGCATGGAGGACATATTGTAGGAATGAGTAGCTGAAGCAGCCACTCTAGCTCTCCAAAGTCGTATTCCCTTACAGTGCCCTCTAAAGTTACTGAAATACAATTGCTAAGTAATTTCCCATGTTGTAGTCATTGTAGAGGAGTAAGCTCTGTCTTGGTACTTAGATGACCATCTAAGTGCATTTTTCCTAAGCCTGACACCAAGTGAAATGACTCTAGTGGGTTAGTGATAATCCAAGGTCTCGTGAACTCATGTCACTTTAGTTGTCCCTGAAACATATTTCAAGTTAACCAAAAACTAAGGTCACTTTGTCAGGCACTGAACTATATTTACAAGACATGGTAACTTGCCATTTTTGACTCGGTTTTTTACTGGTCAACATCATCAGTCTTCCAACTTATGTAACATTTACAATAATTAGTCCTTGATTCAGTTCTGCTGGAAATTCACTTTGTAGCTAAGAAACAAATTTTTAAAAAATCACATTTGACATTTAGTTCCTTAGTTACTATTTTCAAGGTAAAGAACAAGAGTCTTGGGTTCCATGTTCTTTAATGTGACACTGCTTTAAAGGATTTTTTTTTTTTGGCTTACCTTCTTTGCTCAGTTTTAAAAATGTATTGATTTTAGAGAGAGGGAAGAGAGGAGAGAGAGAGACAGACAGAAAGAAACATTGATTTGTTGTTCCACTTATTTATTTATTGGTTGATTATTTTTTTATTGCATATTTTATTGTTCCTCTATTACAGTTGTCCCAATTCTTCCCCCATTCATTGGCTGATTCTTGTATGTGCCCTGACCAGGGATTGAACCCGCAACCTTGGCATATGGGACAACACTCTAACCAACTGAGCTACCTGACCAGGGTGGTTCATCTTTTCTTATCTCCTGTGAAGCATGGGTTTTTACCCAAATTAGTTACTAAGTGCATTTCAGTAAACATGCAAAAGTACTCAGAAATAACATTGCTCCTGTCATTATCACCAAAAAAAGTGTTTTCCAAATGACATTTATCTTTGCATGTGCTCTTTCTTATTTTACTCTTTTTTTTCCCCCCACAGACATCCCTGATCCTCCGGTGGCACCGAATGTGACAGATGTGGGAGATGACTGGTGCATCATGAACTGGGAGCCTCCTGTCTATGATGGCGGGTCCCCAATCTTAGGTAACTGCGTGTTCGTCAGTCTGTGAAGTTGCCACTAGAGTTGGTATCCTCTATGCACATGTTAGTAAGAGTATATTTTAAAAAAAGGCATTTAGGAGAAAATTTATTATACTATCTTTATGTATCTAATCAAAGTGAAATACTGTATTTTGGGATGCTGTATAAGTACTCGAGGTTTTAATACCTCTGATGAATATTATCTGATTGCTCATTCTCTCTTGTGGTTGACATTTATATTCAACATAATAATGAATTATATTGAAATACTCTGAGGCTAACTTTACATCATTCTAGTCAGTATATGTCTAGTTCCATAGAATTACGTCTATGGAAAAATGTCTTCTAGAGTTAAATACTTAGAAGAATTCTACTTCCATGTGGAACAAAAACTTCTATTTACTAATTATGAAATTCACAAAATTGGTCATTTTCATTCATACATTTCTGGGATCCAGAGGTAAATCCATTGCTCAACTACACCTACTAGATAAGGGTATGACCTACATATCTGTGATCTATTTTTCTCTTTGCTTCTTAGTAAAATTTTAATTTTTTCTAGTCCTATTATTTTTATTTCTCCTGTGATGTTAATATTTATAGTCCCCATAATCTCTCTCAAACAACTGATGAAATAAAGTGCTTTAAAAATACATACATGCATGACTCTTTGACTTAGAATGCTGAGAGTATTGAAAAATTTAAGAATCCCTAATATCTGACAAAGTATAATTTTGGAGACCAAGGGAAAAAACCCAAGTTTCTATTTTATATCACCTTCAGGATACTTCATTGAGAGGAAAAAGAAACAAAGTTCCAGGTGGATGAGGTTGAATTTCGAGCTCTGCAAAGAAACAACTTTTGAGCCCAAAAAAATGATAGAAGGCGTGGCCTATGAGGTCCGTATCTTTGCGGTCAATGCCATCGGCATCTCCAAGCCCAGTATGCCCTCCAAGCCGTTTGTTCCGTTGGGTGAGTCAGAAGAGATGTGTCTTTGTCATGGGAATCGTTGTCCTAGATTATGACTGCTTCCTTCCAACTTCCAACTAGAGCAGACCGGGAAGCTTCCTAGAGTGGTGGGTGGGCAGGAGTCTGGATGTAGTAAAGAGTCAGTCTCTGCCTAAGAAATTCGGTAGAGTTGAATGTCTTCATGATATTGGCCCTTGAGTTCATTACCAGAATTCCAATGACAGCTGTGGGTAGTTCTGGTTCTTCTCCCCACTAAGAACATGTTGCTGAACACACTGACAGATGATCACTCTCCATTTGTCCTTTTGAAGCCATCACCCTGCACTTTGGTGTCAACCCAGTAACTAAAACAGATTGAGATTCAGTCAGCAAAGCACACTTGAAAATTAATCTTTGCTTTACAATCATATCTTAAGTGCTATCTATTGAACCACAAAGTCGGTTTAGAAAGACAAACAGAAGATAACAGGTCTTTGCTATTTTATGGTAGTGAAGTTGTTTTTTCAATAGAAAGATTTAGTATAAGAGTTTGTACTTTAAAATTAGAGAGTTATGGGAAATTTACTCTAGATCATAAGATCCCAAACTTTGACTTTTTCCAACTTCCTTGGGCCTCCCAGACTCCCACACGAAGCTCCCAAAGTGGAAGGAACGGGTGGCAGCATTTATAAATTACTCCATGTCCGGCAGATCTTTGCTTTACACACAGCATATGCTGAAGGAGTCTTCATTGAGTTTTATTAAGATGTGGGTCTTCTGTGTGTATCTTTTTTTGTATCCTAGCTCATTTTATTGCCATAACTCTGTAGTTAATAATTTCTGCTTTTTTCTATCTCTTTTATCCTTGAAGCTGTAACCAGCCCTCCTACACTTCTGGCTGTTGACTCTGTAACCGACACCACTGTCACGATGAAGTGGCGGCCCCCAGACCAGATTGGTGCAGCAGGTTTAGATGGCTATGTGCTAGAGTATTGCTTTGAAGGAAGTAAGTACAACTCGTTAAAATGAATATCATCATCACTAGGTGAGATATGATCCCTTTGTCTTTCGTTTCTCTCTCTTGGGAATTCATCTCCTTCCTACTAAAAATGACAGCAAGCCAAAGGTCATCCTTTAAGAAGGATAAAAAATGTAGCTCTTCTTTGATACTTGAGGCTAACACATTGAGATGTCAGAACCATCCTACGTAGGCTGCCCAATTGGACAGCACAAATTGATCTAAGACATAGGAGGAAGGGGGCACTGACAATACTTCAGGGACTTCCAGTTCTTGAATGGGTGGAATTAAATTGTTCCAAAGCAAAATAAAAGTCTAGTTAGCATGAAGCAAGTTGGAAATTTTAAACCCTATCCTGAGCAGAGGTCAGCTATCAAAAGGGCTGCCTGTTTTGGAGAATAAAGAGAAACTACATGTTTGGCTATCTGGCAATCATCCCCTGCCTTCATAAAGGGGAAGAAAGAAGAAGAAAAAGTAAGGACAACGTTTCAGTGTTTAAGGGAAACACCATTAAACACCACGTGGAGTAAGAAGTGGGTTCCACGTGTGGCAGTAACTTCTCTCAGGGGTTGGTTACATAAAAATTTAATCATTTACATTTTGGAGCAGAAGAGAAACAGGAAAACAATTGCTGATTAGTAGAAAAAGAGAGTGACTCAAGAAAATATGGGCTAGAGTGCCAGAGTGTACCTAAAACCAAAAACAAAATGAAAGTCACTGAAAGCCCTTTGTGTTTTTGATTTCCTACCTGTCATGATTTCAAAATGTGTAAATCAAACTGCCCCAGCTCTTGACTCGGGCTCCATTCTAAATGATGGTAGGTAAATCCCACATGCCTCCCACAGGGAAGCATGTTCATAGCTCCACAAATGATGAGCCAAAATGTAACCTCAAAGAAAATTCTCTGGACCCCAGACTTTAATATGGATATTACGTGAAGGAAAGAGAAACCACAGAGCACATTTGGGAAATCAGTAGTGTGAACACAAAGGTACTGCCCCTGGAGGAAAAACCTCAATAAAGAAGAAACTTCTTATGATGAGAAAGCTGCTGAGAAAGAAATCCCCATCCCCTGATTGGGGCACCTGTGGAAATGACCAGGGTTGGTCAGGAGGGAATAAGGGGGCGGGGCTTGGAGCATCCTGGTAACAACACTCAGTTCCCTTTACAGGCGCTGCGCTCACAGAGCACTATGCTTATCTTTCCAGGGCTTAGAAAGCCACTAACCAAAACCAGTGAGGGCATTATAAGAAAGTTCCCAGACTTATCCCAGCATGGGAGGGGGGCAGTGTCACTAAGGCAACAGGTAAATTCTTGAGCACTTCAGAATATGATTTATTCCCGTTCCATTCCCCTCCCCCAACCTTTTCAAAAATGTAGGAGCACTTCACTCTGTTATTTATATCTCCCAGCCAGCAGAATTTCCCAATCTTAGATGTATTGTGGCTGTTGACCACAAAACTTTTGTGTATGTATGAAACAGAGCAAATTCTTTACTCTTTTCTTTCTGATAGGTTTAAAAAGTAAGAAGATACAACAAAATGATACATGGCTGTCATTTTGATGTTACCCACCTTAGATAAAATACAACGAAGTGTATTTTACATGATTTTGTGTGTGGTCTGTGTAGATATATATGTATATACACATATACATATATACATGTACACAGTCATTATTATGTATATTTTTTGCCACATAACGTTTTGGACTTAGCTTTCTATGGAACGTGTATATCTTTCTTCTTGCAATCTTTTCTCACTTCCTTGATGTGGCTGATCTACTCTTCATTCTCTTTTAATGGCTGTTGTCCTCCAGACTAATTTTCTGTAGTGCTTAATGCTTTTCAATATGTCAGGTTTTATTCTGTAAGAGAACTCTTTCTTTTATAAGATGGTGTGTTGGTTTTGACTCTGCCTCTCTCTAGTTTTTGGGTTTGTTTTGTTTTTTCTTTAATGCCTGCAGCGTTTTACTCTTTGTTTTCTTCCTTCACTCTAGCTCCTTCTTCTCTTTGTTTCCCTCAGTTAAAGTGGTTCCAGTGTGAAGGGATCGGCATTTTTCTGTTCCCCTCTGATCTTGTTTCGTCTGTTTTCTCTTGAAATTTTCTTCTTTACTAGTTCTTTCCTCTTCCGTGCACGTATTCTGTCTCCTGATTTCACTTTCTCATCAACTGCCTCTTGACTATGAAAATACCAACACAGTAGCTCCCAAACCAACCATTGGCTTAAGATGTATCTCTTTTTCAAAGTCGTAAGTAATTTTTATTAGCCACATGCCCTCCCAGCCACCAGGACATTCTGGCTTCCTGCTCCTTCACCCTGCTACTCCTAGGAAAGTTGGAATAAGACCGAAGAGAAAGTTCCACAGGGGCCAGTGCAGTCCCAACTCCCCTGATACCCAGAAAGTCATCATCCCAAGCCATGGGATATGCCCATGACCACCCTGTGAGCGAGCAACATTTCCTCCACTCTTGTAGAATGCAAGGACCCACAGGCTCAATAGTTTTCTTGACCCAGAGCTTGTTGCCTGGCAACCAGGGGCTGCCTCCTCAGCTGCTGGGGCAGTTTCCATTTCCTTTGAGAACCAGAGCCCTGGTAAGACAGGGCTGGCTTTATTACGAGTGCCCTCACTGCCAGACCGATGCAAGAGCCCCACCCTGGGAGCACTCGTTCCCTGGGGACTCAGAGGACCCTCCCATCCTGGGGTGGCTGGGGAAGGAGGCAGGTGGACTGTTCCTCTGTGTGCTGCTCCCCTGTGGGGTCCAGGGCCTGCCCCTCCTTTCTCTTCAGGGTCTTGCTTGTTCTTCTCTACCTCTTGCTCCCACAGCTGGAGGTGTCCCAGCCTCCTTTCTCCTCCTCTTCTCTGTGGCAGGTGCCTCAGGACAAAAACCACAGTCTGAACAGAGCAGGCTGTGCCTCTCCTGAGGAATTCCCCCCCTTCTAACGTGTTTGGTTTCTTCCGTCACTGCTCTGAAGACAAATATCTTTGCATACTTTTGCATACTTTACTAACAGAGAATGCTGACTACTGATACAATATTCTTCTGGTGTGAAAGTGGGTGTCTTTAATTAATTTTAATGACGGATTCTCAAAGGTACATCAGCAAAACAGTCTGATGAAAATGGGGAGGCTGCGTATGATCTGTCAGGTAAAGTATTCTCTGAAAGCTCTCATGCTTTCTTACTCTATGATAAAGTTTCTGGGAATGTCCCATGACCGAGCATGAAGTACACCCACTCTCCATACACACAAAAGAAGTCCATAGAGATGGAGGGGGGCGAGGGGGAGCAGTAATTTAATATTGTGGGATCTAAGCCTTCTTTTTTTTTCTGTGGGCATAATGAATACAAACTTTTTGAAGCTGAAATATTTATTAGCCCTGGATGCTGAATTTAAATTCTCTTGATGTTGTAGATAAAGTTATGAAAAACTTTTTTAAAAAATCAGAATGTTTGATTAAGGTAAAAGAACTGTGCCAACTTCTTATAAGGAGGGCTCAGCTCCTGAGCTGTTTCCACTTTTGGTGGATATATGCTTATTTTCTTCATAAATGGGACCAGGGTCAGATTCCTTATGCTCATATTAGCATCTCAAGATAAAACAGAGAGATTACGTATCTGTAAAGGTCGATGTCTCTCATTCAGAACATTTTCCTGTTTTTCTGAACTTTAATGTATTTGGATGCCTAAATATCGTTGTTACATCCTTCATTATAAAACTGAATTGGAATAAAACTACTGCCAAATTCTTAGGGACAGTTACTATTATGCAGGAGACCCTAGTATCCTGAATAGAGTTTTTCAGAAATAGCAGGATCTGATTGTCCTTCTTCCTGTTATTTATGTTTAGCCAGTATAGGCCATTTTTTCATTTAAGTATGAAAAATGCCCACCCATGCATATCGTCTGAATCCAGGCCAAATGATTTAATTATGAGTAAAATACTTGTTTGGATTCAACTGTACCATTAGGATGATTTCTTTCACTAAACAACATTTGCCTTCTTTTTCTTTTGCGGATTTTAGCTGAGGAATGGATAGTCGCAAACACGGATCTGATTGACAAGACCAAGTTCACCATCACAGGTCTGCCCACAGACGCAAAGATCTTTGTGCGCGTGAAGGCTGTGAATGCAGCCGGTGCCAGTGAGCCCAAGTACTACTCTCAGCCCATTCTTGTGAAGGAGATCATAGGTAGGTGGCAATCCTTCCACAATTTCATCTCCTTTTCACATTACTTACTTTTATTTTTTAAACCCCTTTCTTCTCCCAACCTTCCTATTTCCTTGTCACTCCTTGAATATTGTATTAACACTTCCTGGGAGTTAAAAAGAACAAAACAGCTCTTTTCAGGCAGTAGGGAGGTCAGCCCAGGTTTTATAACTCGGTAGGAAGACCCGTTAGTTATCCTCATGGAGTTCCTCACCATTGACTTTGGTGGGGGAGGGGAGAGAGAGAGCAAGAGAGGATGCAGCAGGACAAAGAATTCCCACAGTAGCAACATGTCTCAGGTGGGTCTGCAAGGTCGAAGCTGTTGTCATAGACTATGAACACAGTGTTTGACATCTGTTCTGATGGTCCAGGAGCAGTGCTGTCTTAGCACAGATCAAGTCATTGCCACCAGACTGTTGGTCGTTCTTACCTTCCTCGTCACCATGCACTTGCCGTTAACATAAAAGAGCCAGTTTTGCCTTGGAGCGTTCTGGGTGTGGCATAGAAATTATTAAATGTTATGAAATCTTGGTGCTTGAGTACATATTTTCTTCTATACTCCGTGACAACGAAATGCAAAGTACTGAAGTATGATGGTTGTCTCTGGGAAGAGCCCTGGGGCCACTGAGTTAGGGGCTGAACTAGTCATTTTTTTCATGAAATTCCACCTTTACTTGAAAGAATGACTGTGTGACAATGTCTACTTAGATTTGGTCATCTGGCAGACATTTTCTAGAAAATGAATAGCATGAGACTGTCACTTCAAAGAAAACAATTTGTAGTATTTGTTGTCAGCATGTCAATGAAAAAAATGAGCTTTTAAGAAAACTTAGAATTTTGGAAAAATCGTATCCACCATCAACTTGACATCTCTTCCATGCCTAAAAACTTCTCTGATGAAATATGTATTCATATTAACATATGTTATTTTGTATTTATTGAATAATGTAATGTGTTCACATTTGGAAGATCTGCCATAATTCAGTGAAACAGTATTTTTCAAATGACCAATGCACGTTAAAAAAAATCATGCATAGGTAAAAGTTACATTCAAAATGCAAGATAGACCAATGGACTTTAATGTAACAGAATAGGAAAAGTTCACTGAAATGGTTTCAGATTCCACATTGCAGCTTTTAAGAAAATATAATGTATCATGTTTCAGTGTAGAAGCAAAGAGGAATATTCGCAATGGCCTGAAAAGTTTATTAAAATATATATTCTTCCTGTCTTTATGAAGGCAGATTTTCTTCATACTCTTCAACCCGTACAATAGATTGCAACAGATTGAAGACAGAAACAAATATGAGAGTCCAACTGTCTCCATTAAATCAGGCATTAAAGAGATTTGACAAACATAAAATAATGCCACTTGTATCACTAATTATTGTTAATGTAAAATATGGTGTTTCCATAAAAATGTTATTTATGTTATTATTTTTAAATGAATACCTAATTAAATATTCAAAATTTCTGTTTTATTTTTTCAAACTATAAGAGAGTTTATTTAGAAAGTCACAGAGGGAGAAGAAGTGAATCATCAAAGAACTGGACTCAGGAAACAGGTTACAGAGCAAAAGCTGGGCCTTGGGAGCGTAGGAGGGAGAGGCAAGGAAACCTGGGGATGAGGGCGGGGGCGGGGAAAGGCACAGGCGCGCTCCCTGGCAGAGCCACCCCCAATTTCTCCGTTTTAACTTATAAATTGGTAAATATTGATAGACATAGCCCATGTAAGCAAAAGTGTTTTGGGGGATCCTTGATAAGGTTTAGGTGGGTGATAGGGGGCTAACACCAAAAGTTTGAGAACTGCTGCTCCAGGGGAAAGAGCATTGGACAGGGGGTGGCCCTGGATATCTGGGTCTGGGTCCTGCTCTGCCACGGCCTATGGTGTGACTGCCGGAAGCCTTCGGGGAGCGAGTTAGGGGATGGAGGGAGGGATGGAAGAAAGCATGAAGCCTGCACATTTTTAGATTCTGGCGAGGGTCTGTGTGAGTTGAATCCTGTTTCCATTCTTGATCCTTCTGAGCCTTAATTTCTACATCTGCACAACAGAGATAATAACAGTATTTACCACATCAAGAGGTGTGAGAATTAAATAAGTTCATCCATGCTGTTTGCTTCACAGAGGGCTTGCCACATAATAAGCCCTAAATACGTGTTAGCTTTTATTATGATGATGGTTCAGTTTGCGGCAGAACCTTACACAGTCTTGCCTTCCTTGTATTTAAAGTTAGGGAGTAAGAGGAACTTCAGGTTCTCTTTCAATCCCAACATTTGGTCCTCGTCATTGTCATCACCATCATCATCATCATCATCTCTCAAAGTGTATTGAGCACTCACTATTCTTGACCATTACGCTAAATACCTTACATGAATAACATTGTTTAATCCTCACAACAGTCCTATAAGGTAGATGCTGGTATCATCCTGACTTGACAGAACAGGAGCCTGAGACCAGATAGATCTACTACATGTCTGCGCGGGGATCTGACTCTGCAGTCTCTGCTTCCAAGCCGAGCGTAGCACTCAGGGATGACCCTGGGTCCTCAGCCTGACTGTGTCACCAAGAGCAAGTTGCTTAAACTCCTATGCTCCTCTTCTCTTACCATAAAGTAAAAGCAGTACCTTAGCGCCTAAGGTGCTAAGAGGTTTAAATGGGTCCCTTCATGAAAAGTAGTTAGCCCCGTGTCTGTCACACAAGAGCACTCAAGCAGTGAGGCCTGTGTCATTTCTGTGAGCCTGTGAGCCTTTGGCTCCCTGCTCCTGATCGGTCTGCAGCACCTGGTTCTAGTGTCTGCATGGTGTTGAATTAATGGACATTAATACCTAGCAGGCTAGGGTCCCCAGTTCTGTACTTCATCAGAGTCACAGGGAGAAAGCTACTATAAAACTCCAACAGAACCATCTCAAATAGCAAGGGCTCAGTACTGAAACTTTTTGTTTTCTGGTAAAAAAAAAAAAAAAGAATGGAAGAAAGAATGGGCATTCTGGCCAACTAATGTGGTATCTGTAGTCCTCTAATGGATTGTTCGTTGGAGAATATACTCACTGTTGGAAACTATGAAAAATATATACAAGGTCCCAAGAGATAATTTGGTGTTTTTCTATAAAGTTGCTTTAGGCTTATAACAACAATAAAAATAGGAAGTTGCAGTAAAATCAAAGAGGTCAAGGATAAATTTTATTGTGTTAAACTATTAAAAATATGTCTTTGAATAAAACATTTGGGACTGAAGCTATTGTATGTAAGCTCTTAGTGACACATGTAAGCTGTACTGCAGAGGCACCAGCACAAGAGGCGCCCGTGGGCATCATGTCTGTATGCTGACGTTCGGCTGTGTCCCGCGCACCATACTGACCACAAAATCGTGCTATTCTACTCTCACTCAGAGCCTCCAAAGATCCGCATCCCAAGGCATCTGAAGCAAACCTATATCCGCAGAGTTGGAGAAGCTGTCAACCTGGTTATACCTTTCCAGGTAATAATTCAGGGGCTGCTCATTTTCTCGTTCAGAGCTGGGGTGTTTAAGAAGAAGAAGGAGATGCTGTAGTATTGATGTGCATTTCCTCCCAGGGAGATGGGTAAATAAGGGAGGAGCACTGGGGGGTAATAATTTCCTGCTGCCAAGGAGAAATCTATAAAACTGCCGTAGATTTTCTTTCTTCATGACCCAAGTGAGATCTGAAGCTCTGGGACTACAGCAAGGCAGGAGGAAACATCGAGGACATGCCAAAACAAGAAATGCTTCACGTTTCTTTCTGCTCCTATACATCTGCAAGACTAACCTTCATTTGAAACGAAGTTCTCAGGCTAACCGTCAGGGAAACAGCATGTGCTTACTTCCCACAATTACCCCACACTAAAGTAAATTCCAATAAGGGGATAGCTAAAATTTGATGTCCCCTTGTCACTAACTGAAACATGTAACCATTGATAAATGATTGCTCCAGGGGAAGAATTTGTTGTTTGTATGAATAACCAGGCTTTGCCTGCAGTAATTAGTTTTGGTCTCATACACACACAGACAAACGGACGCACATGCTGCCCCCCACACCCTTGCTCATTTGACTCCTTTTGGCCTCCTGACAGCACTGTTTAATGGAACTTTCCATGATGCTAGAAATGTCCTATATATGCACTGTCCAGTATGGTAACTATCATCCAAACGTAGCTGTTGAACACTTGAAATGCGCAACTAGGAACTAGCATGAATTTAAATTTTCCTTAATTATAGCTAATTCTAGTTTAAATAGCCACATGTAGCTATGATATCAGAGAGCACAGCCTTAGAATTAGATTTTAGGTCTCTGTATGCATTTGAACACATACATATGAGTTCATTCAAACTAAGAGCCCCCATGAAAACAAACTAACTGGACAGTCAATTCAGGCCACCCTCATTGAACTCAGGGCCCCCACCTTGGAAGAGGCAGTTACCCTCTCTACAAACAGTGTATGAAATCAGAATGAAAGCCAAGGAGGATGCAAATGTAACAGTAGGGGAGAAGGCGATGACTTGGCGAGGGTCCTCCCACTTCTGTCCTCCCACAGCATCAAATAAAACCAGGAGCTGGGACAAGGCAGGCCCTTGGGACCCAGCCCCAGCCCTGGAGTGGGGCTGCTGAATCGTTTCTACCACTAGGGCTCATCCCAGTTCCCAGATCTTGGGGGTCTGTGCATTTCATTTCTGTCACCGGGTCTGAGTGAGGAAAGAGTATGAGAACAGGGACCTCATAGGTAAGGCATCCCAGGAGCTGCTTAGCTGCCAGGAAGGGGGTGACAAGACCGTGCCATGTTTGTATATCTGTGTAACCACTAGAGGTCTCAGGAACATTTTCTCATTTAATTTGGGAAAAAACCACTGCAAGGCAGGAGGGGCAGATTTCCTTATCCCCACTTGAGAAGGGAAGAAGCTGATGGTCAGAGAAGTTAAGTAACTTGACCGGGTCACACAGCAAGTAAATGGTAGTGCCAAGAGCAGGCTCTCTGTCTCCTAACACTGAATCCAGTGCTTTTTTCCACTCCGTATGTTATTAGAGAACTCAATCCCCCGCCCCCCCCCCCCGCCCCGCCCCGTAGCTAATAGCAAATTGTACATTTAAGGAAATAAGACCTGGAACTGCTTTTTTTGTTATGTTAACAATATCGTTCTCTGTTTCCCATGTGTGAGGCTGAGCACCCCTAACCATTCTTTAAGCTCTCTCTGTGGGCAGAGGTTTGGCGTGTGTCTCTCACATTCTTTATCATAACCCATTGACAAAGCCACACCAGGAGCCAGTAGGAAGGCTGCGCCTTACCTGACGGACTGAATTAATGCTTGGTTCCCACCTGTGGGGCGAGCCTGCGTGCTCAGGAATCCCAGGAAGTTCCTTTGTAATATAGTCTGAAACCCATGTCCACGGGTGAGATTATAATTTCTCAAAGTCTCTTAAAGAATAATTTCAGCAGCTAGAAAAGAGAAAGAATTATAGGCAAGTCTGAAATGAGCAGCAAAGTGGAGTAATAATCATTAACACTTAGATATTAATAAAAACACGTAGTATGCAGATGCTTTCTAAGGACTTCAATCTTCATAACCACTGTGAGGTAGGTACTATGCTTGTCCTTGTTTTACAAATTGAGAAACTGTGGCACTGAGAGTTTTAGTATAATAACTTGCCCAAGGTCACACAGCTATATAGTGTGTGGAGTCAGGACCCAAATATAGATTCCAGGGTCCCAGAGCCCGTACTCTTAGACATTACGCCGTGTTGTGCGGGCTTTGGAGCTGAAGACACCCGTCTGTAAAACCTGATTGTAGCACTTACTTAGATGCAAGGCCTTGGACAAGTCATTTAACTCCTTATCCCAAAAATGAGGATAATGATACTATCTTGATAGGAAGATGACAGGAAATAATGAACTTCATGCACATAACGTGGTGCCTTGTACACAGAATGCAATCAAGGCAGCAAGTGTTATTACTGTTGCTGCTCTAGTTGCTCCCCACCAGGCTGTTTTCCCTTCTGGCCTGGTCTAGGGTAAGCCACTGTCATTTTTTATTTTTTGTAGTTATGAGAAAAAGTCTTGAGACAAGCTGATTTCTCTCCCCCTCGCCTTTTTCCATCTCTCTTTCTAGGGAAAACCAAGACCAGAACTAACTTGGAAGAAGGATGGTGCAGAAATTGATAAGAACCAAATCAACATTCGCAACTCGGAGACTGACACAATCATATTTATTAGAAAAGCAGAGAGAAGCCACTCAGGGAAATACGATCTGCAAGTCAAGGTGGAAAAATTTGTGGAAAATGCATCGATTGACATCCAGATTGTTGGTAGGTTTGGAAGAAGGAATTAGAACGTTCTGTCAAGGCAGTATTGGGACTAATTGTCCTTGTCATTAAAGCGTCAAGTAAAGATGTGTGATAAGCTGGCTTGGCATAAAATTCTTGTTTAAGGATTTTTTAAACAACAGATACATTAGTAAGATTTGTTTGCATTTCAGAACAGTTTTTCACTGGCTAAAAGGACTAGCCATGGGAGATGTGGGGTATCTTTGTTAAAGAAAATTAATATATGTATTGTTTTACAATCCAGTTCTCTTTTACTGTTTCTCAACTCCTCAAGGATAAAGCTATTTCCTGTGTTGAATTCTTGCATAGAAAACATTGTAGATTCTAGACATAGTTTAACATCTGTCTGCTACACTTAAAATTTGCTATTAATAAAATTTTAATGGAGAAAGAAGAAATTTTTATTAAATGGAAGGAAGGTGTGCCAAAACAAACTTAAGCAGTTAAACACTGAATTGGCTGATCCTGCAGGGCTCATTAGGTACTTACCTGTCTAAATAATTAGTAAGGTTAGTTCTTTCTTCTGTTCAGTTAGGGGTATACAAGGGCAATTTCTTGTGGATGGACCTCTCTCACTTGAACTGTTACACTTTTTGCAACGTCAAGAATAAATTTAAGAACAGAGCTAAAAGAAGCCTTGTTTCTAGCCATTCTTTACAATTATATTTCAGCAAATTTGCTGAAACTAGAAGTTTTCTCACCAAAAGGGTAACTTCCTGAAACAAGCCTTCCTTTGGGGGAAAGTTCACACCCTTCAAACTAAGCTTTTATTTTCCTTCTGGCTAAACCTTCCTGATTCTGACCTGGCTCCATTCTAATGGAATCCCATGGAAGTCTCTGAAGAGCCTGTCTTCTGAAACACAAAGGACATTCTATTTTTCTACTTAGCCCTATAGTTATATTACCAGGTAATTGTGAGTGCCTGGTATATCCCTTGTACACTGAGAGTGTTCAGTAAATGGTAATATTATTATTTCAATTATTTTATTAGCTCCAAATGTATGTATCTGCTATGACTAAGAATTTACCAAAGCCACTTACTGTTAGGGAGCAAGTATTTGAAGAGTCAATGTGAACTTTGAAGACGAAGTTGACCTGGGGCACAGCTGGGAAGCTGGACTGTAGGACAGCTTGGTGAAAACAAGAGATAAAAAACTGTGGTTGTAGGAACTTGTTGTTGATAATAGTGGAAAAGAAGGGAGGAATATCTCTGTGGTTCCACCAACCGAGCCTGTAAAGGCTGCTTGTTAAATTGTTTTTAAAAGAGAGAAAAGTCTTACCTTAAAGCACACCACAGTTTGTTCTTTTTAGTCTCACATTTTACATTTCCTATGAAAATAATTAAAATTGCATTTTAATAGAATGCCTGAAGAAATATTTCAGGGCAGAAAGGGTGATGCTTGCACTGAGAAAGATAATAGATGTGAAAGTCTCTGAAAAAATTAAAAAGTACTATGGGAATATATAATATAGGGTAGGACAAGAGTAGGTTTACATTTGTGAGTATGCAAAACAGTTTATTCTAGTATTATTTTATTCTAGTATTATTTTCCATACAAACAACTGTAAACATATTTTTGCCACACCCTGTATAATTATTGTCCTTTCTTGCCCTTCTGTGTATGATTTGATTTTGGGGGGCTTCCCATTCAAGACTTAGTTTTCTTGACTCTTTGGTCTTCCTGAATGTTACTGAAATTTACTGGAAGGTCAGAGGTCACAGGAAATAAACTGAGGAAGGATTTTATTTCCTCATTAGTGTACTTTACTTACATAAAATGGAAACACTTGATAAATACAAATAAATCTTGGAGGGAGAGTTGAAAGAGTGATAATAACGTGTTTCCCTCATGCCTCTTCAAGTGCCTTTTGGGAGCAGCAGAGAAACCCACTCCCAGGCTGGGGGCTCAGTGCCTTTCACCAAAAGCAGAGCTGCTCAGCCCAGGGGGCTCTAAATGTCAGGTCCAGCATCAGCTTGCATTCCCAGCTAGGCAGGGTAGCCTTGCAATTCAATGCCAGCAGGCTGCCCCTGGAGGGGTGGTTAATAAGGTTTGAGATTGCATTTCAGTTTTCTTTTCAAAGTCTCTTTTTCCCGTGAAAGTGAAAGTCAAGAGTTCCCAGATAAACTTAACCAGAGTGCATTCCATTTCTCTGAAGCCTAAGAATGGTGAAAGAAATGTGGGTAGACAGGCAGGGAGGTAGGGACATTTTAAAATAACCCTCCTGCTGCAACATAAAGGTTGGGAGGGAAAGTGACCGCCCGGTTATGCATGAATTTGCCCTGTAGACCGTCCGGGTCCACCCCAGCTTGTGAAGATTGAGGATGTCTGGGGAGAGAATGTTGCCCTGTCATGGACGCCACCGAAGGATGATGGAAACGCGGCCATCACAGGCTACACGATCCAGAAGGCTGACAAGAAGAGCATGGTAAGGGCTGGCTTTCTCTGGTTCTGCAGCGGCAGCAGCATCACACTGCACCAGAAGGAGAGGGGCAAGCGTGAGGTCCTCTCTCGTGAGGAACCCACGGGGGCCATGGGGGAGTGAAGTGACCTAGCAGAAAGGGTAAGGCCTTTGGAGCCACAGAGAGCCCAATCTGAGTCCCAGCTTTGCCACTTAAGACCATGTGTACCTGGATAGTCACTTAACCTCTTCGATCTCTATTCCTCATCGGTAATGTCAGTTCACAAACACTTACTTTGCTTGGTTACCATGAAGCTAAAAAATATATAAAGCACCTGATGCAATGCTCAGTGGAACTTAATAAATTTACTTGTTCAACAAATATTTACCTACTCTGCATTCCAATTCAGATTTACACCCATGCAACTCTTTCTCTTTGTATAACAAATGTTCAATAGCATGGACAAAAGGACACTAGTTAGAAGAGAAAGATTCTAAAGGGAGCGGCATATGCAAAGGTCCTGAGAAGGGAAGGAGCTTAGAATGTTCAAAAGGCAACCTGGTTGGAGTAGGAATTATCACCCATATTTTATAGATGAGGACACTGAGGCTCTGAAAGTGTAAATGGCTTGCTCAAGATCACCAGATTTTAAATATTAAAGTGTTGATTTTCCTGAATCACAATCCAGCCACTATACTCTACTACTGCCCTGCCTGTAAGTGAATGAAGAAATAGATGAATGTTTGGACACACCGTGGCATATAGTCATTTTCCACTCTCATTAGATGAGTAAGACATCTTACTGAATGATATTGATAAGAAGTCTTTAGACAGTTATACCAGTGGATAGCAGTAAAACATAGATTATGAAATTTCATCAGGTTACTAGAACAAGGGAGGAGGATTGGTAAGGGCAGTAATAACAACATACCTTTGTTTAATACTTGATAATTAATTTATACTTGAGTATATCATTATTACTCTCAATATAAAAATTAGTGTTATTTTTCTTTTGGTGAATGAAACATCCCTGTTATTTATTCTAATCACCAGTTGGAACAGTTGTGTATTTCTAGATGATTTCCCTCAAATTTTTTTTTCTTTCAGGAATGGTTCACTGTCATTGAGCATTATCACCGAACCAATGCCACCATTACTGAACTGGTCATAGGAAATGAGTATTACTTCCGGGTCTTTGCTGAAAACATGTGTGGCCTCAGTGAGAATGCAACAATGACCAAAGAGAGCGCTGTGATTGCCAAGGATGGTGAGCTGGTAGTGGGCTGGTGAAAGGGGTTTTGGACCCAATTTCAGTGTGTGGGGGTTTGGGGAGTTTCCCCCACAGCACCTAACAATCCTGAGACACCAGCTGGACATCCTCCAATTCAAATCTATCCTGACACGGTCTGCCCAGAGATAGCATCAGACCCCAGGGGTTATGGGCTCAGTCTCACAGGAATGTCCCCACCTCCCACTTCAGATGCCAATTGTAAGTCCAGGTTGTCACCTGTGCTTCCAACAGGCTATATACCAGAGGTTCCAATGACGTCCTCCTCAGGTTTGATTAGTTTCCTAGAATAGCTCACAAAACTCAGAGAAACATTCTATCTACTGAATCACTGGTTTAATATAAAAGATTATAACTCAGGACCTTCCAGGTGGAAGAGGGGCATAGGCCAAGCATGGGGGAGGGGCACAGAGTTGCCACACTTTCAGAGCCCTCCGAGAATCTCCAAGTGTTCACCAATCCAGAAGCTCTGCAAATGCGCCCTCCTGGGTTGTAGGGAGGCTGCATTGCACACCCAGGACTGATTATATCGCCAGCCCCTCTCCTCCTTGGAGGCCTGGGGGAGGGGCTAAAAGTTCCACCCACTAATCACAAGGTTGGTTCCCCTGGCAACCATTCCCTGGGTGGGGTCAAAAGCCACCTTATTAATATAACAAAAGATACTTTTATAGCCCTCCTTGCTTAGGAAATTCTAAGGGTTTTAGGAGCTCTGTGCCAGAAACGGAGATGAAGACCAAATGTATATTTCATATTATAAATCACAGTGTAACACTGGACATCTAGAAATCTTGGTTTTCAGTGACTAGAGGAGACTGAAAAAAAGCAGAGATGTGGGGAAAGGGAATAGGAAAATGATAAACACTTTAAAATTATGTAAAAATTGCCACGTAAATAGTAATTTTAAAAGTAAAATTTTTAGAGGAAAATTATATTATTATTGCATTTTTTTAAACATACAAGCTGTAATTCATTCCAGCTTCTGGGCTGTAAGTGTATTCAGTGGCTAGAATCGTAGGGATAGGGAAAAATAGACAGTGACTTCTTGAGCTTGATTTCCTTATATTCTTGGACACCTTCAATGTAGCTATACATGAGACCCATGAAAAGGGTGAAGCTGAGTTTCATGCCTATCACTTCATTTCCTTATAAACCCCTCCCCTTAAAGCTCTTCCTCATTGCTTTCCCATTAAAATGCACCGTTGATCAAAACACTCCAACATCCATTTCTTCTAAATACTCGTTTCAGTTTCATATGACCACTCTGTCCTACATGGAATCGGCTGTACATCTGTACCCTCCAGAATGAATGCCGTGTGGTATTCACTGACGTTTTTACATGTTTTTCTAAGTTCAGGGGAGTTTTAGTGGTGAGTAAAGTATGCCAAGAATAATATAGTCTCAAGCCAATTTGTATATTTCTAATGTTTGTTTTTAAGGTAAAGTCTACAAAAATCCAGTGTATGAAGACTTCGATTTCACAGAGGCGCCCATGATTACTCAGCCTTTGGTTAACACGTACGCCATCGCTGGTTACAATGCCACTCTGAACTGCAGTGTGAGGGGAAATCCTAAGGTACCATGTTGTACTTTTTGAATTCACATTAGTTAAACTTAAGAATTAACCCCGAATTCTCTCTGTTGTATGTGCCACGTTATAAATATAAGTAGTAATATAAACTGACCCTCCAGGTGCTATTTGTGTCCTATTCTAGGATCGGGGGGTGGTGTTGGTGGAACATTAAGTACCTTATTTAAATGTAGTAGTAAAAAATGTTTATATTTCTTTAATAAATAAGGGATACCTTCTAAGGAAAAAACAAACCACCTCTTTTAAAAAGAACTGAGAGGTGAGGAGATGGAAGTAACATTGTTTCCCCTGAAAAATTGGGTGGGAATATTGATTCATCAAGTTTTCTACAATAGATTAAAGCAAATGATGAAACTAAAATGCAAGGCAGAATTTAAAATGTGGTGTATTAAGGGTACAGAATACTGGGAAGGGAGAAATCACATCTGACAGAAGAGAGTTAGAAAGTTTGTAAGGTTTCATGTCGTTGGCATTTGAAAAGAACAACAAATTAATGAATGTTGCCCATAGAGATATTTATCTATCCCCTGGTGGCACTGAGGGAAGGAGGCTTAGAGTTTGAAAAATTGCAAGCAATGGTATTTTCCCACATATACTATGGACAGAAATAGGAAAGTCAGAGAGAAGTCAAACTGAGGATGAAGGATGAATTCATGTTTAATTGGAAGTGATGTTGGTACATCCACATAGGAATGACAAGTAGACAGAGAAGAGGTTCACTGGAGCTTAGGACAAAGGCTAGGGCTGTGACTCTTAGTTTAGGAGTCCCCAGGCATGGGAGAACTATGTTCCACCTCTTAGAGCCAAAGCTCTAGAAAAGTCTGTCGTTGAGGAAAGAGGGTAGCGAGCGAAAAGCCAAGGACCAATGCCTGAGCCTTTATGAATGCTTCCACTTGAAAGGCTGTAAGAAGAGAACAGTATGACGAACAAAGAGAAGGGCCATCTCTAGGGTCTGAGAAAGGCAAAATCATGTGAGAGGTAGAAGAGGGAATGGGGAGGGTGTGCATTTTCATAAGGGAGGAGAAGACAATATGAAAAAGGAGTGGAAGGTCAATGATGTCAGATATAGTTCAGGGGTCAAGGAGAATGGAGTCAACTCCCTGGGTGACTGGGTTATGATAGATCTGAATTATCTGGTTGGAGAAGATCCATTACCACTGATGATGATAACATTAATCGGTTATCGGCAGATTAATTGGTGAGGAGGCATAAGCAGCCCATAAATAATTAGAAAAGAGAGTCAGGACAAGGAAGTGAAGAATATTAGATGGTTATGACACTTTATGGGGATTCTCTGAAAAATGCTCAGCAATATAGAGTCTCTTCGGTAGATTAACCTCATGGACCTGCAGATGGAATTGAAATGTGACTGAATCCATTTGGGAAGATAGCCCCAGAGCCGTCCTGGGAACAAATCTGGGTTGCTTCTTCAGAACTACTCATTGCCCTCTTGCCAAACTCTAATTAGAATTTAACTTGAGAGAAACAGTGTTCAAGTGGATGTGGATTCTTCTTAGATGTGTTTCTTTCTAAGCCATGATTTAAAATTCTATCACTGGCTCTGATGGCCTATTAATGTGCTAACTACAGATATGTTTTGACCTAATTTACTTCAATATTAACTTCAGCCTAAAATAACCTGGATGAAAAACAAAGTTGCTATTGTCGATGACCCAAGATACAGGATGTTCAGCAACCAAGGGGTCTGCACGCTGGAGATTCGCAAGCCCAGCCCTTATGATGGAGGCACTTACTGCTGCAAAGCAGTCAATGACCTTGGGACAGCTGAGGTCGAATGCAAACTGGAGGTGAAAGGTATGACAACCAAGATCTTGGGTATAGTATAAATAATAGAAAATCCTTTAATTATTATCCTTACTGCAAAATCCAGATTGTTTGCCAAAATGTTCTGGGGTGGATGAGGAAGGGGGAAGAGAATTTGGGGAGAGAAAATGTTTTTACATCTTGCATTCACTCTTGATTTATTTTTGAAGGTTATTTGGTTTTTTAGGTAGTCTTATTTTTATCTCTTACAATTCTTATATCTAAAGAAATATTGATTATAGTGGAATGCTGGTATGTGCGCAGCATGATACAAATAAATGAAGTTGAGACGGTATTATTTTGGTGATGTAGTTCATCTACATAATAGATGCAAAAACTTACCTAATGATAGAAATTTAGACTATTTTTAATTAGTTTATTTGTGAAACTTTCAATACTTATGGGTAAGCTTGCTAATTTAGTGTAGAATATTACACATGTAGAATATAGTATCCACATACTTTAACCAATTCCTTTTAAAACATCTCACTTGAGAACTTCCATTTACAGGTCTGCATTTCATTTTTACTAGTTTTCAACCAAAGTAAATCAAGAAAACACATAAGGATTGATGTGGTAGAAAAGTTTCAGCATAACCTGTTACCTTAATTGATTTTCATGTTAAGTATAATTTTTATACTGAAGTTTTATTCTTGACAATCAAAACCTACTTTGGGGCACCATGAGACAATAGGTGACACGGTTCTAATGTCTTTTCTCTCTTTCTTACTGTATTGCATTGTCCTTTCGGTGGTAACCAAAGTCTTTTTGCTACCTTTCTGTAATGAAGAAGTTACAATAGAAAGACAAATACTGTATGATTTCACTCATATGTGGAATCCAATGAACAAAACTGAACTAACAAGCAAAGCAGAGACGAACTCAAAGATGGAGAGCAGATGACAGCTAGTGTTGGGGCCAGGGTACGAGGTGGAGGGATTGAGCCAAAGTGAAATGAGCTCATGAACATGGGCAACAGCGTGGTGATTGCTGAGGGGAGGGAAGCAGAAGGGAACTAAATGGTAATGGAAAACATAAATATTAAAAGTTTTTAAAAATTTATGATCTTAAAGTCAAAAAGATAATCTTGTAAATATTTTTAGAAAAAAATACATAGTAAATGCTTAAGATATTTGTGTAAAAAAAAGTTTTTAGTCCTAAATTTAGTATAAAGTAATAAAGAAACTTACTGAAAAATATTTCCTTTGTAACTTTTAAAAAATAGTATTTTTTCATATGACTTCTATAAGTTCTGAGGTAATACAGTATAGTAGATTCGTAACTGAGAGCAAAATTTTTTTCATGTTTTTCTCTCAAATGTAAAATATAATATTCTTAGAAAATTTCAAACCTTACTCTTGAGATAGTGCTTACAAATTTAAATGTTACTTTTTAGTTTTAATTAGCTTTAAATGCAGATTATAGTCACAGTTGCAAATACATCTGGCTTCTAAACTCCTAGCCTTATTAATTCCAAGGTATTGTTGGTACTTATGTTTCAGCATCCAAAAAAACAAAAGTCTAGTACAACTCCTGTGTATTGGGAAAATAACTGAATGTTGCTAATGATATAAAATGACAATTTCATAAGTGGTTCAACATTTGGGGTCCTCCATAAAAGATAATGTTATGCGATTAGATGATATATTCTTTATAGTAATTTCATAGTGAATTAGATGGTAATTGAACTTAATAATATAAATAATGCATTCTAGTATATAAGTTTATAGTAAGATATCAATTGTAATATATTATTGGTAAAAGCTTTTGGTTCTAAAAGTAAAGCCAAGATTGTTTATCATCAGATTGTTATCTGATAATAGGTGACTTGAATCAAGTTAAGCTGTGAAAAATAAAGGTAAGAATGTCAATGGAGAACAAATAAATACTGGTACAAATATTCTAATTCTACAGTGATATATCAAGGAGTAATTACCCCTGGACAACCACTGTTCCTGGCGGGGCAGCAACAGGTTTTAAAAATTCATATCCCACTGGATATCTCTACTTTCTGTTCCATTCCTCTTACATGAAATCGCACTTTGCATGTAAAGCTTGACTTTCTTCATTTGCTTTTAATTATATTTTTTAGCAGCTCATGGCATACAGCATTTATGCCATGAACAAGGAAGGCCAAATTATTCAAGGATATTCAAGGATATCAATGCAGGAGCTAAGTTCTGTCAGAAAACTAAGTACCATAGGAAAGATCCCCACAAATAAAGCCAGAAAGCTACATTTGAAGATAGCTCATTTTAGGCATAAGACTATCAAAACCTGGGAACCAATGGCATTTCTTTAATATTTTCATTCTTCATCTGTAAAGATAATCTTCCTCTAAGATAGCTTCCAGTGTAGTTTCCTTAGGTTCATGTTGAAATTCAGAAAACCGAATGTTTTTAAATTGCTAAGCTGTAGAGAATGTGTTCCAAGAGTTTTTTATAGGGAGAGGTCACAAGTAAAAATAGATCCAATATTTAGACACTTTCACATGTTAGATTTTCCAATAGAATGTCTGTATTCTATCGATTCACCAGTAGGAAATCTGTAACCCATTTATCTGTTGGACATATTAGATATTTTCATGGGACCAAAGTTACTTCATATATTCATGAACTTAAAAGGAGAGAAAATTCTAGGTCCCATTTGTAAATGTATTAAGCATTAAGGGAGTCCCGTAGTATATGTATGATTCTCCCCATTCGGTAGAGTGGATTAAGGAGTTCTTTGGGGCAAGGTAAGCAAACTGATATAAACTCTAATGACGCAGGCAGAGCTGTGCCTGAGTTTACAATATTTGCTCTCTGAATTCCCAGAAGTAAGGTCAGCTTTCAAAAGAGGAAGGAAGTAGGGCTTTTTCTTAAAAGTTTTGTAGATTATATATAGAGTCACTTTCTAGTCTGTTTGTTTAAGCCTTTGGTTTACTTAGACTAGTCATATGTAATTATTTTAGAATACACATTATGGAACACACTAGTCTAATATATCTACTTGATAATTTTGCCTTTTAGAATTTCAACATATATATATGTGCACTAATTCTTTGTCTATCATCAATGTTTTTCTTTTGTTGAAAAACACTATATATATATGTTGTAGGTTTTTTTTTTTTTAAGCTAATGCTTTGGAAGCTCTTACCATAAATATTCACTGTACAATCAAATGAGCTTTGCCACCGATTTAGGCAAAGTGGTTGTGAATATTAATAAATGTTTTACATATTAATGATCCTTTTGAAGTGACTGGATCCCTGCCCTTCATTCCATGCGCTTCTATGTTCCTACATCTTTCACATGACTAAGGATTAATGAAATCATCTCATCATAATTGCGACCATAATTTCATCCAACAAGTACTCAACTTTGGTTTTAGCACTTTATTAATGCTTACAATTTCTCTCTCTCTCTCTCTCTTTCTCTCTCCCTTTTCCTTAGTTGTAGCACAGTAAGGATTTTTGAATGTATATTACCATCTAAGGTAAGCTTTCATATGGTTTTGGCATATGAAGCTTATGACTGTCATAAGCCATACAAAGCTTGTGGAGTATGGCATGATTTTCATTATGTAATCCAATGAAAATAGACTTTAAAATATCTAACTTCATAGTTTTTATTTGTATTTCAGTATCTTAAAATTAACAGCTAGTACTTACTCAGCACAATAATCTCCTATTGACATGAAGCAAGTTGTTGAATGCAGTAGAGCATGAATTAAACCATTTAATGTAGATGAAAATGCGTGATACCCAAGCATCCTGACCTCTTTGCATCAAGGAATGGACATGTACATAAGTGGCATCATTTCTACCAATATGTGACTTGAAATCTTTTTTTAAAAAGGAGAATGACTTTTCCAAATTTGCATTAAAGAAGTTTTTAAGAATGCTCCAATGGCATGCTGTTTTTGTCTGGTCGTGAATTTATTAGCAAGTAGTTCAGTACTTCTCTAAAGGGCCGTGAATTGTTACGGTTTCATGGGTTCTCTCATGAAAGGTACTTTTATTTTTTTTTAATGTAATTCAGAAACATGAAAGGTAAGTATGAAATTAGTAGGTATTTCTCTGGCCTTCAGAAGGTATTGGATAGGTTTTACTATTGTTAGCAAAATATTTCCAATTTTTTTCACTTTTGACAATGTACGAGTAGTTAAAGGAATAGTCCCTTTATTCTTCTCCAATGTGCTTGAGTCAGAACTCTTTGTGCTTTTTAAAAGAACATTAGCCAACTGGAAACAGTTCTTTCCACGGATTCATAGCATGTATGCATTTATTTTGCCATTCAATCCGAGCACTTAAATCATCTATAGAGAATCCCAAAACCTCTCCAAGTGCAATGAATACTTTCCAAGCAGTTAGGAATTTAAACTAAAATTGAGTAAGAGTAGGAGACAAAGGATTTCTATGGGGCTGGCTAGAACTTGCCTTTTCTTCTAGATGTCAAGTGATTTAAATTCTAAATGTACTACACCCAGAAATAGATTTCCAAGTAGGGACTGAATAAATCTTTGTAACCAGCTGGAACATAATTAGTCACATTCCCAGGCAGCTAGCCCAGAAGTATTATCTCAGTGATTTTCACATAGACGGTTCTGACTTTGCCTTTTCCCTTTTGTCCCCTTCAGGTGGACTTTCCTTCTGCAGGCTCCTCTTGCAAGGCGTACCTCCTAACATAATTGACTCATATTTGCGAGACTTGCAATCAAGCAATCCTGAGGAATACTGAGGGCCCGGGCACTGCCTCCGCTCTCCACTGCTTTGAAATCTGGTTGCGATAAGAACGCATTTTCTGTTTTTAACACCTGGCACCCAAGTGTGACCGGTTTTTTTCCTCCTCATGTTGAAGAAAAAAATATATATTTGCACGGATTGCTTAATTAAAAATTGCAAACGAAATCCCATTTGAAGCCAGTGTTTTGATCATTATTGTCTGTGCTTCGTCACTGTACTTTACAAAAAAAAAGCTATACAATAAGGAAAAGTGGGTATTTTAGTTTAATTTAATAGGCTGTAAATGCTTTTTTAACCCAGAGTGAAAAAAAGAAAGTAGTACAATACACCACAAGAGAATCTTGAAAACCCATCTTTCTTGATTTAAGAGATTTTCTAAGCCAAGCAGAGTTGTGTTTTTCACACAACCCTCCTTAACCCCAGTGGAACTGTGCCTTTCCCGTTCACATTCACTAGAAGGCTTCTTCAAGTCAAACAAGTTTTCTCAACAGAAGGGGAAATATATTCAATAACTGTGGCAATAAATCTGAAGTGTTTGTGATAAAATGACACAGCATTTGTTTTCTTATTTGGGGTTGTGTGACCAGACAGCACTGAGGACAACAAGCGGGCTGCCAGCGTACTCCCCAACTCAGGCCTGACCTCCAGTGTCACTCTGGCTTTGCATCCTGGCCAAAGTCACCAGAGTGCCTGCCAAAACAGTCACAGTGACAGAGAGCTGGTGCAGACTACAGAGCAGCTACAGATTTAGGGATTGCTGATGGCATCCATTCAAAACCTAGAAGCCGAGAACCAATGAACCAAAGCCCATTGTTTCTCCAGCAGCTTCTTTCCTTTTCTCGGTGTTGTGGAGAAAGTTTCAGTTAAGGGAGTGGAACAGAAGCATATGTAAGTTTCTACACACACACCTCAATTCACCTTCTTTCCTTTGTTCTTTTGGCCTTTTGTTCTGGGAGCTAAATACACCGTGACCTGTAGGTGGGCCCATAGTGTCCTGGTACAACATAATATCTGTTCTGCTTCCTTTCCATTTGAGAGCTGGGAAGCTGTTATGGTGGCCATGCTCCTGGATCGATATGGAGCTCCCCCATTTTAATCAGAAAATCTATTTGCATATTATTGACTAAGCTATTTTATATAAAAGAAGCCTGGCTTACCTATAAAGACATGAAGACCATATATCTCTATTGCAAACCAAATAAGACCTCTGTGTGGCAAAACCAATGTGGCCCATGCAGCCTAGTTGCTGGGTCAGAGGCCCAGTGCAGCAGCTGGGCTGGTTGCTTCATTTAAACACTCATTGACCAATCTCACCAAGTCATTGTCAAGTGCGTTATGCCATTGATAAACATTGTCTAAAAGTGACTATAAAGCATCCTTACAATATATCGATTCCCTAGTCATTACTTATATTCGTTAACTATATTTTGTACCAGATAGTGTTATTTTTCTACAAATGATCTCTCTCCTCATATTAAGGACACTCCCATACCACAAAGTTCCAACAAGAAAGAAAAAGTCTATTTTAAAACTACAAAGGCCAAAAAATGTCAGAAACTGTCATTACTAATAGCTCTCTACAACTTTATTCTAGTTTTAAGTTACAGTGTATTATAGAAGGGTTATATGAATTTACCAAAAATTCTTTTTGGGAACTAAACATTCATTAAATTTTTTAAAGGATCATACTTACTTACTTTAAAAGAAAGCTTAATGAATGTTTTCATGTAGATCATTACAGAAATAGGGGAAAAAGCCACTAGTTCGAGGAAACATTGAAACAAAGATGTGTGTCCTTAACCACTCACTCTGAAGTTGAATCCTGAAACACTCTATTAAGCTCAAGAAATGACTTATTCAGTGTCTGATGTATGTATGGCACTGTGATAGATTCAGCTAGGAACCCAATAAGCCACTTCACGTCTTTAAGAAATGTATATGTATAAGAGTAATAAAGCCTGCAGGCATAAGAGAGCACTGTAAGATTTCAGAAGATGAATAATGTGGTTTATGTGTTATTATACGTGCATGCATCACACTAGAATGTAGTATAGGATATGCCACATGACTTTATTATTGTAAATCAAATTAAATGACTCTGAGCTCCCTATTAGCCAGGGAAATTGAGAAATTCTCTCTTTCCTGCTTGGAAGGTCCTGTCTCAAGTCCTGGGCCAACTGGAATCTTTCCTGGTGCCTAGAAAATGGAGAGAAGAAAAGTCTCTGCATTTCATTCAAAGTCTCCATTGGTGGCTGCCGAGATGCCTGTGGTCCAACCCAATACGGTGCACTCAACTTGCTAGACAAGTGTGGGAACACTGAACGGTTCTACCACTCAGTACCAGCCCTGGACCTGGGCAAGAGGGACTTCTGCAATTTCTACAGCCTCATTATGGCCCTTCTCCAAACACATCTCACTGCATGAGACAGGGAGGCCATAGAACCAAGGTGATATGGCTACTTGGAACCCTTACCACACTGCTCTTTCTTATAGATTGTACCTATGCTCACTGTTAGGGCTTTAGTGGGCCTTTTCCCTGTGTTTTAACCCTTAAAGAAGAATTGTGTGGCCAGTATATGTACCCTGAGGCCCAAGGGGTGGTCTAGAGGCACCTGTTTGCCAGGGGGTTGGGGTGTGCAGATGCGATTAGAGCTTGTGCATGACCAGGGCAGCCACCTGTGTGCACCTGAGACTCCTCCTGGTGTACTGGAGGAAGGAGCTGGCATGCAAAGAACAGGGAGGCCTGTGGGCCAGCAGTGGGCCCGCATCCAAGGTCTGTCCAGAATGTATCCCACCATGTAACATGAAAAATAGAAACATTTATTGAAGAAGATAGAAGATACAAGAAGCATGGTACAGAGGACAGTGACGCTTCAATCCCATTCAACACAGGCACGTTGGGACCTCACACAGTTCTCCCAATTGCCATCAGCTGCCCTGTCATATTTTCCTGATCTCATCAATGGTCTGAAATCTTTTCCCTTTCAAAGGTGATTTTAATTTTGGGAAAAGCCAGAAATCACAGGGCACCAAATTTGGGCTGTAGGGGAGCTAAGTCATCTGGGTGATTTGATGTGTTGCGAAAAAACTCTGCATGAGAAGTAATGCAAGAGCAGGTATATTGTC